TAAAATGTGCTGGCCTGTCCACTAAACTGCTCCACTATAGCAGCTTCATTCCAGGCTATATCCAGAAGGTGCAAGGAGATGCCATATTTCATCACGGTTGCAGTCAGCAGATGAATTGGTTAGGGAACTTTCCTGGCCTGAGGATTATCAAAAGTTTACAAACGTTCACTAACACACTCTGCACCATTTCCCCAGAGAAGGCTAGGTAGCATGTAACATGGGGTCATTCGTCTTGTAGCCCCTTCAGCTAGCGGAGTACAAAATAAACCAATCATTGGGAAAATCCAGGACAACGTTCCATGTAAATCTGGAACTTAGCCAAGTAAACTGAGAAATCCACAAGCAGACATGAAGGTGACTGTTGCTTATCCCCAGAAACTGGTATTCTGCACTAGGCTGCCTCTAATCCTGGAAGCATTTTTGCTCAATATACACATAAAATTCCAAGCTTTGAAAAGTATTCAAAATTCAAAGTTGAACTTGAGTTAATATTATGCTACATATGGACTGGAAGCACAGTCCAGAGTTGGTGGATTTCCCCATTCAGTTTAATGCTTGGAAACAGTGCATATACAGAATTTCTGTGTGTGAGCAAAGAAGTCTCAACACTGACGATAGCACTTATTATTGGACCTCACCCCCAAAGGCACACTTCTCTATTGTTTCCCAAGACAGACCGATGCCAACAGACCAGCCTGACATTATAACCCATTTCCGTATTTTATCTTACTAGCTTTGGAATCTGCTTGGTGCTGTTATCACCTGAGTAGCAACCACTAAAGGTTGCCACATCTACCTAAGCACTATTTAGATTTCTAATATGTTTCATTCCCAAATTTCAATATGGACAGTTGAAAATAGTGGGGGTTTTTCAGTATTTGTATATTTATTATATTTTGTCACACACTCTTTTAAAAGTGTGTGTGTGTGTGTGTATCATATAAATAAAAGCATGCTAGCACAAAGAAGATATATATTCAACTTAAGAAAACACAACTTAAGTAAAGATATGCTTTTGTTCACATACTAAATAACATATATGTTAAATACCAAAGGTAATATACATTATTTCCTTAACATACCGTACCGGCCCAATCAGAAAATATTTTGAGAAAGTTGTCTTAAGAATACCTAGAGACTACTCAGAGTTTCATATGCTATCAAAGGCTTCCTTGACTAACTATAGTATTGAAGAGAATGCACGAGAAAAAGTTTTCTTTCAAGTTAATTCCATCCAAGCCCAGGTTAGGACATGTCAGCACCATGCATATTCTTGGCACAAATAGAGACCTTCCTTGCATTATCCACTAAGCACTTAGACCTGTTAAAAATTTCCTGTGAGTATTCATTTGGAGATTATTTCACAAATTTCAATGCAAGATTAATCTATTTCCAACTAGTTAACAATGAAGCAGCTAAATATTTATTCATATTATCTCAAAGTAATTTTCCACATTTATGCCAGTCAGTTAGGATCACTGAGCATCATGTAAACAAGTAAAGAGAATTACTTTCATTTCAAGCTTCAAGCAAATGCATACAATGAAAAATGTTACAAGAGTACCCAATTCAAGACAGTGCTAGATAGTAATAAAATCGCATGCATATGTTAAGGAGTAAAACCTTAAAAAAGTCAAATTTCCCAACTTGCCTTTTGACAGTTCCAAAACCCATGCATGAATCCAGAACAACTTTCTGCCCCAAGTCTGGTCAGTAAAGAAATTGAGGTTAACCTTTAATTTTTAATGTCACCTGCAGCCAGTGATTGCTTTTTCTAATGCAAGTGACAGATAAACAGAAAAACACTCCCAAGATGATACACAAAGCACCACACACCATAAGTGCATTTTTATTTTTATACCAACTCAATTTCTCAAATGGATAACCAATGTTCCTACTAATTTACATTAGGAATTGAGTGAGGCATGAAAATTGTTCTGATGCACAGGCACACTAATTCACTGTATAGGGTGTAGAATTCCTATTGCAATACAAAATAAATTTAAAACCGAAGAACTTCATCTTCCATTTACCAGTGGAATTATGAGTGCCTTCAGAAGTAGTAGACAACAATAATGATGAGAGGAGAAAACAGGACTTTTAAGTACCACTGCGTAAAACATTACTTAAAAGTCACCAAAAATTGTTTTTTGTGAAAAAAAATTCTGAAGGGCTCAAATCAACTTAGCTGGTGTCTAAAATAATCCATAGTAGATTCATCAGCTATGTGGTGGACCAAAGTTGTGGACTTAACATGGCTAAACACAAAACTGCAAAGAGTTGTCCAAGGATAGACATGGTAGCATTCCCAAGAAATACTTTTGCTGATAGAATTAGAATAAAGTGAAAGATCTCTCAAGGATGAAGGGCAGCTTTGGGACATCCCATTCCTAAAGTGCCCTCCTATATTGGATGGTACTGTATTGCTATACAGTACCATACAACTTTTTATTCTGTGCAGCGATAGAAAGGAAGATTGGTGCTGCTGTGGTCCATTTTTGTGCATTAAGCAACCAATGGATGCTCCAGGGTACAGATTTTTTGTCCAGAAATTTGAGTGATCCAGAGCTCAGCTAGGTCTCCTGTTCTATATGTACTTTATGGTGAGTACCTGTTTGGTGTTGCCTGTCTCAGTTACTTATATTCTTTTCTCTTTTTTGCAAGCCTCTGGTGTGAAGAGCTGTGAGGTCAAAACATCTCTGACTCATATACGAGTGTAACTGAGATAGATAGATGATAGATAATTGAGATAGATGATAGATAGATTTTTCCTTCTCCCTCAGATATAATATTGGTGTGGGGTTGTTGGGGTTTTTGGGTGTGTGTGCACAGAAAGGCTATATGCCAGAGTCCCTTCTAATCCTTGGATCCAACAAGCATTCAATTGCTGGAATAGGCAGGCAAGTTTCTTAGCAATGGCCTGAGTATGGGTCATTATGGTAACAAAGGAAGTGGATTGGTGCCAGATAGAAAATGGGTGGGCCCCGCTCCCTTAACTGTCTGTTAATTAGAAAGACAAAACTCAGAGTTGAGGTGTGTTAGCTAGAAGCTGAAAGCAGGCTGAACAGCTGAGAGACAGAGACATGCCTGCTAGAATCTAAGGCCTGCTGGAATTTAAGGCTGTGGCCACTAGGGGAAGCAAGACCCCAAGCTGTGCGCCTGTCCACTGTAGGCTCAAGTTGTATATATGTGTAAATAAACTAAATATCATAAAGACACCACAGTCTCCACTGTGCCTTATTTCCAAAAGGAAACATGAACCCTATGTAAGTGTCTGAAACCCCTGGAATCTCGCACCGCTCAGAGATTGGGGTGGTGTGGAACAATATAACAGCACAGAGTGTGAGAAAAACGATTGTGTCTAATGAGATTAATCTGACATGGGAGAAAGCACAGCAAGCTTTGTAAAACAAAAATCAGAAACAGGACAAATTAACATATGTGGCAGTTCTAAAGCAATTCAAGACCAGTGGGCTCAATTTTTTCATGAACTTGGTTCTGTGTTCAATAAATCTGTGAAGCCTGATGTTAAGATGGCTGTGCTTTGAAGATGGAACACTTTGCATTCAGCACTGGAGCTTGATGAAGCTTTTTTCCATAACCAAACCACTTGGAAGAGAATTCCATAAGGAGTAGCCACTACTGAAAAGGCCCTCTTTCACATACTCCCCTAAGGAATTGACTGGGGCAGAACCAGCTATGTACCCATCCATATTTATGTTCTGCTGATTTCTGTACTAGTGTTCAATGTGAGAATTCTGATCTCACTTATCCTGTTGAGAAATCTAATTGCTTTATGACTTCACGCTTCCGTCCAGCTATCATAAGAAGGAAGGAAGGAAGAGCTATATTTTTCCTACTGAAGTTATATGTAAACACAGTACCTGCCGGAACTTCAGCTTTTGAACAGTCTATTATTTATATGACAGAATGAAGATCTAAAAACATGAAATACACCCTTAAATTATTCACTTACTCTTTTTTGAAAGAAAAGATGTCAATCTAACACTAAGAGACTTCAAGAAGATTTCTAAAGGTTTCAAGAAAATTGCCTTATTTATCAAAACTTTATTCCCTACATCAGTTCATTAAATACTGTTGCTGAGCGTTAAGGTCAAACAGTGTCAACCAATTATTGTTGTGGAAAAATACTACTCAAAACAAACAATGTAGACACAAAATTATTTTAATAGGCTGGCTGAGTACTATTTATCCAAAGTATATTTCAACTATAAAAGAATATTTTAAGAATTTTAGAAACAATCACTTATAAGGCTATTTTATCAAAGCAGCATTAAATATGACTTTTATTTGTCTGTTTAAATGCCAAGGTAACTATCAACTATACCCATGCCTGACTACTCAGCTGTAACCTTTTGTTTAGTTTTTTCTGAAAATAGGTAACAAATATTAAATGATTCAAAATATACTAATTTTAAAAGTGTTTTAATACATTTTCATCTTTCAAATAAGCACTATATTAATGATAGCTTGTATTATAATTAAATATATACATTTAAAGAGATACATAAAACAGATGCGTGTTTGACAAACCTGCATTTTTTTCTAATATAAACAATATTAGAGTTTTCTGTTCTCCCACTGCCTTACAGAATGCTGAATACATAAAATATATGAATGCAACAAGGGCTTCAACAGTAACAATAGTGAAGCAGTGATTAAACTTCACATCACTAATTGGTCTAGTGAAGGCATACCTAGTCATATTCTAGAATTATTCCATCATTCTCAGAAACAGAATAACTATTAGATCTGTTTGGATTTAGATTCAAAATCAGGTGACATATGAATAACACCATATGCCTTAGAATATACAATCTTACATGTATGTAAACTTAATGAAATAATAACTTTATGACATGTTGTATTTCCCCTCTTAATTCTCCTGTAACATCTTCTTACTTCTTCCCTAGTATCCATACACAATGGAAATTGGTTCTCAATAATAAAAGGATGCCTGATTTTTGTGCATTTTGTTTGGCACGATGTCAGAATTGGGCCTTTAGTGTGGTGGCAGCTGCCCTTTGGGTCTCCCTGCTATGGCATATGAGACAGGCATTTTATTGTCTTTTTTGTGCATGTTAAAAATTATCTCTTTCAACAAGCATTCTAGTATCCTTCTCTTAACTGTTTTGGAGTTGAACTGGTTTTATGTATGTGCTTTAAGCTGATATTATATTTATAACTGTTTTTCAAATTTCTTTATATATGTATCGCTTTTACATATGCTATTATACTGTAAATCGCTTTAGGGTGCCTCATAGGAAGCAATTTATAAAAGAAATAAATAAGTTAATAGTTATTTGACTGAAAAAGGATCACTGGTATCTATCCAAGAATGGCTAAAGATACCTTTTTTTCCAGTAAAAGAAAAATTCACTGCTTTACATAGATCACTAAACCCCAATGGATAGATTTATCCTATAGCAAGAGATATATAGGCGGGTACAAATAAAAGGAACAGGCTAGAGGCGTGTAGAGTAAACTTTTTATAATTATAGCTGGGAACACAATTTGTTAAAGGAAGTGTACTGTACAATTAAATCTGAAATTTTAGCAAGATGCCCTGAGGCTGTCTTGCAGCTGTCAGGAACTGGTAACACTCATGTTCTTCTTATGAGGCAGCTACAATAGCACTTCAAGACACCTTTCCTGTAGTCAACTTGACTTTGAATGAGAGGAAATAGGCAGGCGGGGGGTGGGGGTTGGAATAGGTGAGACTTGTCTCTCTCCTTCCATTCACATAAGGCCTCCATAGGATTCAATCCAGGCTTTCTCAGCATCTCTCCCATACAATCCTTCTTATCAGTTCTGAAATAATCTATAGAGGAACTTCCCTAGGTTACTCTAGCTGGAGAGATTACTCAAGCAGTAATCAGAGAGCAGGTCTCCTTATTAAGAACACCCTAGCTTTGCAATGTCCTCCTAGAAACCTATGAGGCATAGGTATCAGTGAAATGATTTTATTTGTCCATGTCTTACTACTTCTGTTATAGTGTATTATTGCTGCTTGTGTTGGGTTTGATCCGGACTTAGTAATGACTGTAAGCATGTCAAACTTAATTCTCATTGATTTCAATGGGTATACTCCAAGCATGACTAAGTTTGGATCCAAACCAGTTTTTACTTTTGTAATGGGATTGCTGCTTCTACCGGTCTTCTGTCGCTGATGGAAAAGAAGCAGCAACATACTTCCCCCTGCTCTAAAACAGGATTTGAGCAGGTTTCCTTTAATGAAATAAGATACTTGTGGACTTTTGTGCTCTGTGCCTAGCACATATATTTACAGTGATAAAATAACATTATTCTCAAAAGTTCATTTGGACAGTTACTTCTTTTGCTACAAATCACTCCACCAACATATACACTGAAAACAAGCAGTTAATTCCAGAGGAAAGCAACAAAATGTACTATGCATGCAGTGTAGTAATAGACAGAGAGAACTCTACTAGCATATGACATCCACTATGCCATTATCATAATAAATGGGGAAAGTAGGTCCAATTCTGTCAACAGTAAGGTATGAAAGAAAGCAGCTTCATCAGAATGACAAATATGTCATTCCTAAACAAAAACAGGTCATGCTGACATTCAAAATCTACAAGTTAACATTTTCCCTTCCATTTAGTTGTCCCTTTCCCTTAAAAAACATGAAAGAAAAGATAAACACATATATTTTAACTAAAAAGATTCTTAGGCTACACTCCAATGCTCACTTACCTGAGAGTAACTTAATGAAACTTATTTCTGATCAGACATGCATAAGATTGTACTGCTAATTTAGCCCTTGATTATTCTTTAAGACTGACAATTTTCAATGGTCCATGTGGAAATAAACTTTGCTTTCTTCAATTCTATCACAATTCTTACAACGCAAATACTAATAAATTTTAAATGCTTATAGAAACCTATAGCATACCAGCCATACGGTTTAAAATTGCTTTAACTGACATGTATACTAAATCTCATGGGAATGTCATAATACATCTGGTAGCATGCATGAACTGCAAATTAATTTTATCATATTAAAGATACCATAAAGGTACAATGCCGACTGGATGTTTAAACTTTTATAAAACATTTCCAACGTAAAGCATTTTTTTCATGCTTTTTGTATTCATCAGTTAGCTTCTACTCTGATGTAAAGTGGACCAACAGACTGAAGATAAAAGCATACAAACTATTTGGCAGAGAAGAGAGCTATTATTGGTGCTTAGGAGGGCCCAACAGGAAGACATACTTGGGAATTGGGCTACCACAAGTGAAAGGTGTGGTTCTTTTTCATTGAGAACATACGACTTCTGACCCATTCAGGGCACAGTTTATTTTTTTGCTCCTATCAGCTATTTAATGATGCTTTTTACAGCTTCTTTCTTAACTAAATTGTTTGTAATGTTTTTATTCTATTTTTATTAACACAGATTAAGATAAATGCAAGATGTTTCTTTCCTTCCCTTTCTATAGACCCAGGTCTTTACCATAAAAAACACATAAAGGCATTCAAATAGATGAACTGACTCGTTTTCCTAAGAAAAGAGTTGCTAAGCTTTTGGGAGAGCCAAGTCCAAAGCACCGCTCATTTGCTTTTCCCCCATCCAAAGCTCTGGCCAATAGTTTTGGTCATATTGCCCCTCTCCCACACAAATTGGACAGTTTCCTTTTGAGGCTGAATTCAAATCACGTTCCCACTGCCCAGCTGCATCCCATAGCTCCCCACATAGTGCCTGAGCTTCCTGCCCCCTGTCTGCTTCTTTGTCAGCACACAGCCCTTTGCTGCCCACCAATGTCAGCAATAATAATAATTTTTTTTTTTATTTATACCCCGCCCTCCCCAGCCAAGACAGGGCTCAGGCGGCTTCTAGATCGGCTGCAATCTAGAAACCACACACAGAGCAATACAGTGCCAGCTCCCACACGTCGCTGAAGTTCACTGGGAGGTACAAAACAATTTTTGAGCTTCATATTTCTAGCATCATACATGTAAAAACCACCCCTACAGACTACAAGAGGTTAAAAGGGCATCAGCCCACCAAAAATGTGTATATATGGCCTCTTTGGAGCTCAACTTTTCATGTATAACATAACTGAGACCTCAAATTCAAAAGGGAGGGTCATCAAGAAGCAAGAAAATCAAGAAAAATTTACAACCCCACTTTAAAGCATACAAAAGTTAAAATTATTTTATTTATTTGTGACAGCAAACAGGATTCTTTCTGTAACTGAACTGTGACGAAACTCTCTTCCCACATAAGTTTGTACATTTTCACTACTGGCTCTCCTTCAAAAATTACTGTCAGAGTGCTTGTAGCCCCCATTGTCTTATGATATTGTATGCTTACCTTTTGATCAATTTAATTGCTTGGTGGTTTTCACAGACTACTATATTTCTAATGGATTTGTTATGAAACACTCTGGTTTTATATGAATCAAATGTTCATACAAGTGTTTTAGAGAACCCTTACTACACAGTACTCCAAATGCCTTTGAGTAAGTTTACTTGCCAACCTTGCCAACTTCCTCCTCCTGAACTGCTTTCCCAGCATAGGGAGGAAAGATAAAAGTTGGAGTAGAAAGGAAAAAAATGGGCTGTGTTTTGAAAATCTGGGGGGGAAATCTTTTTCTGGAGGAAAGCTGTTCAGGTGCCCCTCATCCTCAGAACATCTTCCATATGAATATGTATGACATGTTGTGTGAGACAATGTACAGATTGTACATGGATAGGCAATCTATAGTCCAGCCTCCAAATGTTGTGAGACTACAGTTTCCATCATACCCAATACTACAATGCTGACTGGATTTGGAGCCCAACAACAACTGGAGTGCCACAAGTTTCCTTCTCTGGAAGAGAAGAGGAGCCAGGTAAGGTACTCCATAATGGGACAGAGAAGAAAGCAAACAGGTCGTGAGCAAAGGATGTATAAAGAAAAAAGTCGCTTAGGAAAGAAATTGTGGAAGATGCAGGTATCAGAGGAACCTGGGTTATGATCAGCACTGGGAGGAGAAATGAGGGAAATGAAATAAGAGAAGATGATTATGGAAAGTAGAGGCAAAGAGAAGGTGAGATCAGGACACTCACCTAGCCACTCAGTCCATTTTCAGGACAAAGTTAAGATGAACACTCACTATTTGACCAGCTCTCACTAGAAAACATTTGAAAGTACTTCTTCCAACTTAATGAATTCCATTCAAATAAAAAAAAGCAGAACAAAGCACATGACACAAATGTGAATAAGCAGCCCTAGTTACAGTTCAGCTGCTGCCTTGTCTCTATTTTTCTCCATTTAAAGAATACTTTAACAGTAAGGTACTTTATGTATTTTTAACTGATATCAGATAAATAAAACTTTTATCTGAGGTTTTACTTAATGTACTGTAAAGAAGCTGTTGACAATACGTTTATCAGTAAAGGAATTTCAACCTTGCCCTGAGGGTGGCTTAATTTGGTGAAAATTTAGAATAATGCCATACACATTTCCCCAACAGATGCTAGGAGACTCTTAAAAGATACCCAGCTCAATCAGAAGTTATATTAAAGTTCCATCTGGAAATGTGTTTTTCTGTAGCTTCCACTACAATTACCCACGTCACTAATGTCAGGTGTTAAGCGTCATACAACATACTAGCCTTAGAGACTGAGCTAGCATAGCTCCTATGGGCTAGTCATATACTCACACATTAAGTGTTGTTTTTAAAACGGGGGTGGGGAAACTTTTTTCCAGCCACATTGCCTGATGGGCAACCTTCCATGCTCACAAGCCAGAGGTGGTCAGGACCCGAGAGAGAGAGCAATGGATATAGCTCTTATCTTTGCTCAGTAGGTTATATTTTAGTTGCACGCAAGTTACGAGATGTCTGCAAACCACACCTATCCATCCAGACATGGTAGTGACATTATCACAGCTCAGTGACACATTCCAGCTACACAAAAGCACCTGAGGTGAGCAGAGTCCACTCTCCCCACCATTTTAAAGCATCAGTAACAATACTTGGGCAGCTGATGCTGCTACATGTAGTGACATCTTTATTAAGTACCACTTGGGTCCAAGATACCTTAAGAACCAATTGAGCCCTTATATTCCAACTCAGAAACTAAGATCATCCAGAGGAGCACTGCCACTTATCCCTTGTTTTGCAGAGGCCCAACTGTTGGGCACTTAGTGGAACAATCTTCCAGTCGAGATTCAGCAGGCGTCCTTGCTTTTGACTTTCAGACATCTATTGATGCCCTTTCTATGCTGATAGGCCTTTGCAGCTGTTTAATTAGCCAGTCACTTTAATGATTATTTGTTTTCTGTTTTTAATGGTGTTCTCTTTTATTGTTGTATACCGCCCTGATATTTTATGATATGGCAGTATAGAAATGCTTCTATTAAAAAATAAATAGTCTAGAGTGATGACTGGATATAAACAAAGTGAATCACATCTATAATCAAAATAACAAGCATTTTTCTTTCTTCTTGTGAGGCACCACAGGCCTCCAAACCTGCTCCACAGCATGTGCCTGTTTTGCTTCCCTATATGTCACTTGGGAGGGCAGAGCTGAAGGAGGAATTGCATGTATTACAGCCAAGACAGAAGCTGTGGCTGGGGAGTAAAGCGATGGTTCTTGTGATTCAGAACCAGGTAACTCCACTCTAAACAAGGATAACACTTAGATTCAACTCCCAGGACTGTTTTTGTTTTCTGTGTTTCACACACTGGTCCTACAAAACAATACTCTGTGTGACACAAATTATGACATGTTGATTTTCACAGTATCTGGAGAAGCTGCCATGCTCAAGATATCATACAAAAAGTATGGGAGGGGGAAAGCAGCTTTATATGCAACATATCAGATGGCACCCAAACATTCCCTCCCCCCCACAGAGTAGTCAAGTGGGGGCAAGTATCATATCTCTCATTTCATCTATTTCCAAGGTTGGCTGAAGGGCAGTTAGTGATATGAAGGAAGTTCAGAAGAACAGCATCACCAGCACAGTACGCATTTGGGGTAGAAGACAGATCTGCAACCATCTACTGACTTGTAGGAAACTATGCTTTGCATGAGGCAAAAAATGAAGTGTGTCATGTGGCAAACATTTGCAGTCATTACACAATTAAGTGACTAGCAGCAGCATCTTTTCTTAAGCAAAATCACAATTTGACAATACGTAATCTATACAGGGTTGAATTGAATTCTTATTAACAGGCCTTGTTTCCTCTGTATTTGACATCGACGAAACTCCAAGGTCCTTTTTATCTATGGTGCAAAAATAAACTTAATTGATTAGCTAATGGCAAAACCATTCACTCCAAATACAGTGGTGCCCCGCAAGACGAATGCCTTGCAAGACGAAAAACTCGCTAGATGAAAGAGTTTTCCGTTTTTTGAGTCGTTCCGCAAGACGAATTTCCCTATGGGCTTGCTTCGCAAGACGAAACATCTTGCGAGTTCTTGCAAGTTTGTTTCCTTTTTCTTAAAGCCGCTAAGCCGTTAATAGCCGCTAAGCCGCTAATAGCCGTGCTTCGCAAGACGAAAAAACCGCAAGACGAAGAAACTTGCGGAACAGATTAATTTCGTCTTGCGAGGCACCACTGTACAATAAACATACACACAATTAAAGAGAACTAAATGAAAGGTTATGGTTGGACAGTGTTCTTGAAGCTACCAACATGAGTTTGACCAAACTGCGGGAGGCAGTGGAAGACAGGAAGGCCTGGCGTGCTCTGGTCCATAGGGTCACGAAGAGTCAGACATGACTAAACAACAAAATGAAAGGTTGTATACTGCAGTTTGTTTATTAGAGGGATTGTCAAAGATGTTCCACCTTCATACTGTATCCACTTCTGAGTAGAACTGTATCTGGACAAAACTATTGCCTGCTTTAGGTATAAGGGCTCTAAGGGCTTGTGTAAAATGGCTGCTTCCCTGACTTCAGCATAATCTCTGTGTTTAATCCATAATGGTTTAGTGCAAGTAACCTAGATTGCGGTTATCAAGAAAATATGTGGTCTTAAATAGATGCTCCTGAATTAGCCCACTCCCGAGTGGAACTACAGAAAACTATTGATTAACATCTAGCAGCTTCCTGAATTGTATAGTGCCTCGTCCATATACCACACATGCTCTAAAAAGACATCTTCAAAAATAAAGGCAGGGAGGACGAACAGCAATTCTTCCTTTAACCTGTAGAAAGTTTAGATAAACTTGCCTTTGATAATCGACTGAACAAGCTGCACTGCCAGCATCAAGGGATGGTGTAGGGATATCTAGCAGGTGCTGCAGTTTATCACAAAACCGTCTAAAATAATTGGAAGTGACAACCAGCACTACCACAAATGATTTATTAGTCTTTCACTCAGCTTTTCAGCTTCCTCGGGGCCAGAATAAATAATTTACCAACTCTGTATCTTCCAATCATTAATTCTTCCCTGTGCTTCCAAACTACATTTAACTCTGCTGGGTTCAGTGGAATTAAAAGACACAATATGAAGACACTCCCCCCCACAAACCATTCCCAAGTATAGTATTATCCAGCTGCATCTAAATGTAAAAACGTCATTTGAAACAAATTCATTGTTAGGAAAGCAGTCAGAATACCTGGGTACTAAATAACAAAGACTGTCAGAGAATCTGTAGAATAAAAAAAAGTTGAGGAACTGAAATGGAAGGGCAGTAGGGATAGGGAAACTATTTGTAAATGACTAAGCTGTTGTTATATCTCAGGTGCAAGCTGATTAGCAACCTCACCTCCAATCCATGAGCATAAAGCCAGTATTAAGACTAGAAAACCTCATTTTATATGCATGCAAACAGATACCCTCCGTCAAACGGCATCAGCTTTTAATGTACACATTCATTTAAATAACTTATGTGCTTCAGTCAAAAAAGGTTCCAACCACAATCAATAGTCTCTGTCCTCTGACTCACAATCCAAAAAGACATGACAAAGATTGGGATGGAAAAGGAAATAAACAAACTCAGGTACAATTTCTTCTAATGATCAGCTCAGCTGAAAAAGTTCCAGAAGAGAAGGAACCAAAAGTTGCTGGTCTCTTAGCTGTGTCAGTGGAGAGTCCTCCATCCCCTCTCTTTCCTCCTCCACTGCAGTGTAACGTAATGGCTGCAGCCAGCTGCCAACCGATGCAGGAAGGAGCCTGGTTTCACAGCAGAACCAGCAGCCCTGGTTCTGCACAGTTCTTCTTCCTTCTTGTAATACAGCCTGATATAGCAGGTGCCTGATATAGCAGGTGCCGCCAAGTTGACGAAGCAGTGAAATGGACTAAAAGTGCACAACATGGAGCAGTCATTTTTCCTCCGACTAACTCCAACACATTTATGATTAATTGCACCACAGTTTCTAAAAATGACCTCTGTATTTGAAGCAAAAGGAACAAACAGAATATTCTACCAAGCAGAACCCCAGCTTAGAAGACAAGACTGTACTATGCACATAGTACACATGATTCAATTTAGAACATGAGGTACCATATTCCCATTATGTAGCGAAAAACACACAGAAGACTAAATCACACCCTAAATCCATTTTTGATGTAAGCTGGTTGTGTGTCTCATTAAATCAGCATCTATGATTAAAACAGAAATCATTTTTGGTACATAATGTATTGCATTGTTAAAGCAGCATCTGTTTATAGCATAGGATAACATATTTTTCAGATACAGAGGAAAAAGCAGGCAAGGATAATAAAGACACAATCCAGACTTTGATTATATAAAACTATTTTTTTCTGCTAAATGTACTAAAGGGGTTAATAACATTAATGTGCTAATATTTTGCATTCTTATGAGAAGCTTCAAGCTGTTGGAAATATTCTGAAGAATTTCATGGTACTAACAGCTTTCTTTTAAGTCCTATGGGACTGAGACAACTCAAACTTTAAGTGCTTAGAAGAAAAGCTCTGTAAAGCTATGAAGGCTAATCAATAGGGCTTTCACCAAATGATAATATAGTCTGAAATGAAATAAATTATCCATAACAAAAATGCCTCCCCCTTTTCTTCTCATTAATATCAATACAGCAGGAAAAAAATAACACTACATACATTCCCCCAAACCCCTACAATGTAGAAATCACTAGTCTTCTTCTTTGGCAATCACTCGTAACCGAGTAAGATTGTCTTCCATGAAAATGGTCTTAATAGCGAGACCAAAAGTGACTGTGGATGCCCATTCTGGATCCACGCGTCCTTCCACAGTGGGGACATCATTCTAAGACTGAAGATATTTTGGAAGTAGCAATCCTATGTGTCTTTGGGATGCTTTGTGACTCAGGGTGAAATAGGAATGGGAAGGAAACTTCTATAGAATATGGGGTCTCATGTATTCAACTGGTATCCCTGTTAACCGAATCCACGGGAAGGCTTTAATCAACAACCAAAAGCGCAATCCTAACCAGGTCTACTCACAAGTAAATCCTATTGAATTCAATAGGACTTACTACCTGGTAAGTGAAGTTAAGATTGCAGCCTAAATATTTTAAAAGCCAGTTTGCAACATTCCAATACATCCCAGAAAAAACATAACCCAAGACAGGCAATACAAATTAGTGATACCGTATTGGTCCAAATATAAACTGCACCCAAATATAAGCCACACCTTTAAAATTCAAAGGGGGAAAAGGGAAAAAAGACAATACCCGAATATAAGCCGCTCCCCTAAAATTCCGCAGGCACTCACACCCGTTCTATTTTACCGTATGTCTGTTTCAGCAGTGATATCGTAATAGCCAATTTTTGTAAGGTTACGACTTTAAGCTACACTTTAACTTTTCACGGTCAGAATTTGGGGGGGGGGGGGGATGTGGCTTATATTCAGGCCAATACAGTAGATGGATTTATCTAGTTCCATTTCACTCACGGAATAGCAGTGCCCCATTTTCTGCTCTGTCTTCTGGTTTTGAGAATTTCTATAACTAATTTCAGAATTTTTATGTATTTATTTTATATCTTGCCTCTTCTAAAAGGAGCTCAGGGCACTGTCCACAGCTCCATGCCACATTTCGTTCTCACATCAAATCTCTGAGGTAAGAGCACTCCTTTTAGGAAGAAAGCTATTCTGCAAGATTGCTTTGTTGGTTCCACTTTTTAACTTGGGTCATCATCCACACCATTTAAAGCATTCTTATACCACTTTTACAGACAGTGAACCTAACCATTTCAATTGTGATGTTGATTTAAAGGCAGTACAGTGGTACCTTGGGTTAAGAATTTAATTTGTTCTGGAGGTCCGTTCTCAACCTGAAACTGTTCTTAACCTGAGGTACCACTTTAGCTAATGGGGCCTCCCGCTGCCGCCACCACACAATTTCTGTTCTCATCCTGAAGCAAAGTTCTTAACCCTAGGTACTATTTCTGGGTTAGCAGAGTCTGTAACCTGAAGCGTCTGTAACCCGCGGTACCACTGTATGTGAACTGAAGAAGCACCTCTAGTGATTATTTCAAGATATTACACATCTGCAATATAAGCCAAGATTGATCAGGATTGCTGATGACGGACTTCCGGGGTGGTGCCATCGGCAATGGCGGACTCCCTCTGATCTGGAGGGACTAGCTCCGCGCGAAACGGGTCTTTTCCGCTACGGCGAAGCGGGGACCCTTTCAAAAATCACAGGCGGATGAAGCCTGTGACCATGGGACTCGGCGGGCACCCTTAGCGCCCCCCCAACCCGCAAAGGAACCCACTAACGGGCTCCGAGCGAAGAGGGGAAGTGGCGCGGTGCTGAGAGTCAACTGCTATTTCCGTGGAGCGAAGCCGCATAGCTGTTGCCGGAGAGCGCTGCCTTTTCCTGGGACAATTTGGCTTCTAAAATAATCACCCGTGAGTACTTAAATTTCGGACAATTGGACTTTAAATAAGGACTTGCGAGCAGAAAGGAATTGGACTTAAAAATTTACTTCAATTTGGCACTGAAACGGGAAGGTCTAAACAGGAAGTCAGCCTTCCGTTTCTTTGTAGACAGAATAAAGCAAAGACAACGTAAACTAGAGCTCAGAAAATAGCTTCTAAAAGATTAACTTTCATCATTTTAAAATTGTTGAACCCCCCTTCGGAAGCAGGAGAAGAAGGGGGGATCTTTTTCGGACTGTTTAAACCTGCAGAAGTGAGTTTAAAGTAAAGTAACTTTCCACCGTCCTGATCCTGGAGCGGGGTGTCAGGACTGACGTTTGAAGCTCATTGACCAGAGACAAACGTTTTTGACAGATAGCTAAAAGAAGAGAAACATAGTGATTCCACTGTTCCCTTTCGCATTTTAAAGGAACAAATATTGACAAAATATCTCAAAAGGAAACTTTGTTGCTAGATTTGTACTTAAAAGAAAGAACAAATAGAAGTTTTCCCCTAGAGGAGACTGTGAAACTGTAACTAATTTCAGGAGCTTGCAGCTGTTACAGATTACAATCGTGGGAATAGACTTGTGACCTTGTAGGACAATGTATTCAGAAGCTCTGTGGTGTGCTCTCTGTAAAACAAATGCCCTACTGGAACAGTTAAATGAGAAGACGGATTTGATGACTAATGCGGTCAGAATTTTTGAACAGGCAGTGGGAAACTATATGGAGCCCACCCAGGAATCAAATCAGGAGTGTGCCCTGACAGAACAGATGAGAGAAGAGGATGTTGCTGAATTTTGGGCGCCAGAGATGGAGGGAGCTGTGGCCCTGCAGGAACATGAGCTTTTGGACTTGACAAATGAACTTGGAAAAAGCCAGATTTGGAAAGATAAAGTTTGGACTGGTTTGGAAATGGGGGGTTGGATAGACCCCCCTATGCAGGGATGTTTGGACTTTCCAAGTCTGGCAATGGGCCGTGAGATGTTTGGGGCTGTGGGGGCTCTTAATTTTGGAGGGATTCTGAAACATGTTTTCAAATACCACATGGTCTTTGGAAAAGGGGCTGATTTGTTGAAAAGGGTCAAAAACATTACCAAGCTGGAGTTCCCACGAGTGAAAGGAGAATATGAAGAAGAGCTGCGGAAGGGACATGGAAGAGACTTAAGGGCCTCGGATATAAGGTTACCAGGTTAATGCGCTAGATCAATGGGATAAAAGGACTGACAAAACCCGGGACCAGGAGGAAAGGACGCTGGATGAAGATTGGATTGTTTTTATTTCTTTTTTATTATTAGGATTGTTTTATAAAATTGATGAATGTTAGAAAAATGTTGGAACGAAATTACTTGGCTCTAGCAAAAATGTTTAAAGAATTAGGTAAGAATATTATGGTTATGAGAAGTTGGTAAAAATAAGATTTAAGTTTTAAGTTTTAAGGTTTTCTATAAGATAAGATGAAAATAGATTAAGGTAATGTAATGACAGAATATTATGAAATATGGAAAGGATTTGCTGCGATAATTAATAACTAGGATACAAAAAAAGGGAGGAGGAGGAGGTCAAAGAAAGAAGGTAATGAAAGTTGAGGATTCGAGAATGATGGATTTGTTTTTATCTGTTTGTGGTGTATTTTTGTTTTTTGAATCTGCATTGTTTGATGTGGTTTGTTTTCTCTTTTTTCTTTTTCTGCTGTGTTTTTTTCTGTAATTTTAAAAATTTTCAATAAATATCATTTTAAAAAAAAAAAGGATTGCTGATGACATGCCATTTTTTTGCTGTCCTGTGGGAAACTACTTGCTTTTACTTGCTGCCATTTGCAACAAAATCTGTGGTCAATGCCATCCCCGCGCCCACCTCCCCTGCAAAAAAAACCAAACAAACATGCAAGAAAGTTCAGTAAGATATTTTGGAATCCTCATGTCAGCAAGTATCCTCTAAAGATGGTCATGTCAGATGGTATCAAATTTTTTTTGCATAGCCAATGAAGCACATTATCAATGAATGACTCAACTCCCTAAATTTTTCAATGATGTGACAGATGCTCATGATTTGATCATATGTGCTTGTCCTTCTCTGAAATGGTCAGGATGTGGTGGGATTTCTGCTATCATTTGCTTCACACAATATTAGAGTCATCATAAAATTGGTAGTGACATATGAAGTACGAGAGACCTTAGCTCTCATTGTCGGGCACCACAACTAATACTGCAAATATAATAGATTTAGTAGATAAGCAAATTCCCAAAAGGTCTCTTAGACACGTAACAAATACATAAATCTAAAACAAATTGTACAAAGTGCAAGCAATTCTTCATGATTAAATGTTGCTCTCAACCTTCACCGATCTCCTTAATACAGTGTGAACCTCACTAATTCATACTACCTATAATTAATTTTTATTACTTTATTTGTACTATAGGTGGATAACATTCCTGACTCACAGATTCTACGCAGTGCCAAAGAAAAAAACTAACAGGAGATGCTACACTGGGTGGCTGGATTCAGTTTGGAAACAAAGTACAGTCATACCTCTTGTTACGTATGCTTCAGGTTGCGCGATTTCAGGCTGTGTCCCACGGCGACCCAGAAGTACCAGAAATGGATACTTCCAGGTTTTGCCACTCACACATGCACAGACGTGCAAAATGACATTGCGCACATGCACAGAAGCGGCAAATTGCAACCCACGCATGCAGACGCGGGCTGCATTCTGCTCATGTTGCAAACAGGGCTCCAGAACGGATCCCGTTCACAACCAGAGGTACCACTGTACGGCCAAGAGTAACCCAATAAGGAAATATACGTGAATTTTCTGAAACATGACCAATCCAATAATTCATTATCTAGACTGCTGCATTTTCTTAACATTTTCACATGCGCATAAAACCTCAGATTTCAGCAGCAAATATTGTTCATGTAATCAAGACTACACACAGCATGTAGCACAAGTAGTCATACCTCGTGTTGTGTCCCGCTCTTTCAGCTTATGAACGCAACAAACCTGGAAACACTTCTGGGTTCGCCACCCACGCATGCACAGAAGCGATCTACGCACTTTGCGCATGAGCAGAAGCGATCTGCTCAATCGCGCCGCACACATGCACAGAAGAGGCGCTCTAGTTGCGGACTTTTCGGGGTGTGAACAGCACCCCAAAACGGATTGTCCACAACTAGAGCTACCACTGTATTGCTACTGCTTTCAAAAGAGTTTATCACACTATCATATCATCAACCAACCTAGACTGCCAGGATTATGTCCTTAAGATGACAAATCTTATGCTCATTGTTTCTTCTTAACTTGACATGCTTCCTCAACATTTTCCTCCTGAGACTTTCAATCAGGAACGAATGTTAACTGTTATTTACTTCTTCCGCTTTTTAAACAAGGGACAGATCTTAAGTTTGGTACAAGCCATTAACAGGAGGATTTCCGCTACCACCCCTTTTCAAACACCTCATCCATTCTCTTTGTCATTCCAAAGAATATGTGCAATGTTTGCCACCAACTCCCAAAACATTCCATAGAATTTAACTCAGGAGTAGTAGGTACTGCATTAGTGTCACCCGTTTTAATTCTAACATGCAAAAGGCACCTTTCAATTCTTAATGAAGCATTGCTGCAATGACTGTCAGCTCAAAGGCTTGTTGACTGACAAACAATGCTGTCTGGTGACTTTTCTTGTAAATGAGCAGAACCATCTATTTTAACTTTCATTCTACAAATCCTATGCCCCACGTATTCAGCAATACTGTATTCATATTGTTTCTCTGGCATATCCTCCAGCATTATGTATTTTAATATACACGTGAAATTTTAGTTTGAAAGGAAACTGGGGACAACTACCCTGCCAAAGACAACTGGCTCATTAGGAAAATAAAGACAAATTTCAGTATAGCAAGAAGAAACGCTGTCTGGTGCCAAGCATACTTTCTTATCCACAAAGCAGATGAGGAAGATTCAGGAGGCCGCCAAATTCCACATTAGCCAACCTGCGGTTGCAGATATGCAGTTCTAACTATTAACAGAATCACAAGGAACTAGACCAAGGAACTCATTAGACCTTAGCATCCTCTGATGCTTCAAACTGTGAAGACTCACGCCTTCTGCAATGACATTATTACACTACTTTGGCACTGTGGGTCTAGAACATGGACAGTGCCTTACAATGTCGTTTTTTCCTATCCTGTTTTTCTTGCTTTTTGAAACTGTAGTTTACAATATTCTTCATTTGCGGTTTCCCTCTACCCTTTGCCGCATTATTTCCTGGTTCCTGTTCAATCTTCATGGCTGGTACTTCAAGGTTTCTGCTAATAAATTTCCATCTTCCTCCTTCTCTTGCTACCCCTGTGTGCTCCCCAAGATCCTATCAGGTCTACTACTTGCTGAATCTTTCCCATTCTTCATTACAATTATGTTGCTTCTCATTTCTGTTTACTTCACTGGCCCACTCTTTCTGCTTGGATTCTACCTAAGCTTCTGTTGCATTGGATCCAAAAGTTCCCTTTGCTCCACTGGAGGAAGAGTCCTTTCCTCAGAAAAAGAGAACCTCTGGATCTGACCCATTAAGCTTAACAGAATTCAAAATACAGCAGACACACATAGACAAGAGAGCCTGCAAATTATGTGCATTGTTCATAAGAATTAAGGTTTGTTAAGAGGAAATCCTCACGAAAAGGAGAGATGTAAAAGGTTATTCATTTATTATTTATATAAAACATTTATATCCTGCTTTTCAGCCAAAAAGTTTGACCAAGTGACTTATGCAAGGCCACTATCCAACAAGTCAGTCCTTGCATTTCCAAGCTTATCTTATTTACAAGCCTCACCAATGTTCAATGGATGGTTGTGTCAGAAAGAAGTACAACTTCATGAGCATCTCCCTTTAGCTGGGGACTATGTGTACTATGTCCTGCCAATTAGAACACTGTTTCTGTATTCTTTGTACTTACATATTATGTTGTTGGTATCCGCCTGTCTCAATAGAGAATGGAGTGTGCCTCTGGGGGTGAAGTCAAACCGCTGAGTTAGCAGCATCAGAGTGAACTCCCTGGGATGCTAGCCTGGGCAGTGTGTATGAAGGTCATGGGCTGACTAAATGACAAGACACCCCTCTTGACCTTGCTGATGCTTCCACAGGAAAGGAAAGCAGTACATTTGGCACCAGCTTGGATGCAGGAGATGCCAGAAGGAGGCATACAAGGCAGCATCCAACAGTCTTAGGGATTCCACTCTGGATTTGTGTAGGGTTTACTCCTAAGCCTTTTTTTCTCCCAAAGGTTTCCCACAAAGCTGCGGAGGTTCAGGATAAGAGTTTTCCTTCTCCATGGACTACCTTCCCAGGTTAATGGGCTCCATCTGCCCCTTTTATATATAGGTTGTCTGCAATTGATTGTATTTGTAGGTTTCATAAGTAAATAACAATTGGTAGTATTTGTAGCTTTCATGCAACAAACAACAACAACTTTTTGTTAATAAATTGGATGTTTTATGCAGGCGGTCTCTTAGTCTAATATTTTACTGTGCATTTTATTAAACTATCCTGTCTGGGTCAGGGTTTCAATGAAATGGTGTATGGCTAAATGCAATAAAAGTGACTTGACAAGACATTGTTATGTTCAAGAGGTCCAGGTTACAGAAAGCCACGCACACAACTCATGATTAATTGTCACTTTTTTGTTTTCCCGTTTTCATTCTGGCACATAATTAGCTGAAAAGTATCTAACAACCAAAGCCTTATGCCAGCAGAGGTTATACTGGACATATGCCCTGGAAGAGGAAACCATATCTCAAAGTGCCCATTTGCTGACACTTCCAGCTTCAAAGAGCCCTGGCCTGGGTAATACTAGAAAATGGAAACAGCCACTATTACCTCCAAAATCAGTAATAACCATCGGCTTAGACTGCCACTACAAGTTTTTAAGAAAGAAAAGTATATGGAGCATTGCCATGCTTACAACACTACTTGCCCTACCCTTGCAGTAAGGAAGTACACATAATTAAACAATTAGCATATCTAGAAACTTTGTTGAAGATAGGTCATGCCTAATATTATGCCACATTAACCATTCATTAATGCTTTTCACTTTTCATGGTAATGATCGATAACCGAAATAATACAGTGGAAGTGTGAATGTATTAATTCAAGCTCATTAGCAAATAGTTTGCATGAGTATAAAGAAGGTCAATACACCAAAGGCTAAATTGAGTCTGCCCTAATTTGAAACAAAAGTATCTAATTTTCACCTCCTTCCCCAAATTCAAGCACCGAGCTATATCAAAGAGCATCACTTACGATATAGCTGTTCAAAATTAACCATAAAAACACTGGATAGAGGATGAAATTTCAGATTCTGAAGCTGGATGACACAGATGCTATACAGGGAAAATGATGGCAACAAGACAATAAAATCCAGAGCATGGGGGAAATGTTCAGGGTGGTAGGTGGCAGGCAATCAAATCCATCAAGCTGTTTTAAAAGGATCCCTCAGGATCCAGATACTAAACCTTATTTGGGCTTATTTGCATCTTACCCAAACTAATGTGTTGGAGCATTTACACATAGTAACAGGACTGTGCAGTAGTTTACAATGCAGCTACCAGATGAAAATCTACCACAGCCTCAGGAGTTGTTGTGACACGAAATGAATCTGGGTGCAGCTGTGCTTTATGCTGAGCCACAAACCTGCAGGTTACATAATCTATCTGAAGTACGCTCAGGCCCTGTGCTTACTCCAACCACTAAGATGGACTAAGATGCAGTTGACCCAAGAGTATAAGAAAAAGCTTCCTATTCAGCTTTGCCAAAACAATATGGGGCTCCTCTTTGGTCCTCCCTCCTGGTTCGTCCTCTCTTACTCTTCAGTTCTGACTTATGAGGCTGCTTTGTCTTAAAACTAACCTATGACTTAGACCCTGACACACAGAAAGCCCACCATCATAATATTTTGTCATTTTCATCTATTAAAAATATATAAATACAAGACAAGCAAGGAATTGAAAACCAGACATGGCAAAATAATATTTTAAAAAACTATAGATGCATGCAGATGTTTTCTGTAGTTAATACAGTTAGCAAACAGTATCATTTAGGCCCCTGAACTGTCAAGTACAGCAGTTTGCAAAATTATAGTTTACATTTAAACTACAGGAAAGGAAATACACATGTAATTATTACATGGAGAGACCTACTATTGTCCAGTAGGTGGTTTCAGTTCTTTTCTCCAAAGAACTGCTACATGATATGAAACTCATTGAACTTCTCTGCACCCCAGTACCTACAGTCCAAAGGTTCTGCACAAGTCATTTTGATCCACCTTGGAAACATATATAAACAGTGGAGTACTGTATTTGTTTTAATTACAAAATAGCACTGAAGTGATTATATCAGTTCCTGTACTGCACTGCAAAATGTTGGTTAAACTTGGGAGAGTTTAATTACAATATGTCTTTAAAGGGGCGGGGGGAGGAAATTAGCAAGGTTGCTGTTTTTTTGTTTTTTAAAAAAGCCCTGTTGTGCAAACCTATGTATACAGGGTGATTCATAATGAAGTATGCAGTTTCCATTTATAGTAAATGGAATTTATTATTATGAATCACCCTGTATATACATAGGCACATGCAATGTATATACGCAGGCCTTTTTTCAAGGCTGGAATTAAGATGTGTTTGAATAATATTGTAGAAAATCATTATTGGATTTTTTTTTAACCTGTAGCATCCAAGGTTGACATGCCATTAAAACACAGTAAGTAAAAATAGCACAATCTTTCCTAAAAATTATACAGCACAAGATGTAACCAGCTATTCTCACAAATTGGTGGGTAAATGAATGGGGTGTGACAGAACTCTTGTTTAATGTGACCTTTGGCTGTGCTTTCACTTCTCACTAGCTGTTCTCAGGGCCAGTGCATAAGCTGCCTTATATTACCCCTGGAACTATCATAATATGTCATTCAGGAAGCATTTAATACTAGTACAGGTGAGTGACAGAGCATACTTGCAATATTTAATATCAATGCTTTACAGGCCTTTTCAATAACATTTTTATATTGTGAAAAAAATACAAATGAAAAGGTTAAGATAAATAAAAAACTTCCAAAAAGATGTATATTACTGGGGATGCACTTCGGCATAAACTACAAAATACAACACATTCTACTGTTATATGCTGCGATGTATCTGACCTTTGTAAGTACGTGGTTGGTTTTTTAAAAAAAAGCAAATCTGAAAGACTAATGTAAAAAGCAACCAAGGTGTTCATAAAGGTGTTACGAACAAGGTTTACAAAACTTAAGCAATCAAAAAGAAAGAAACCGGCCCCAACTTGTCATTGCCTAATGCTGTTCATCTAATACAGGAGAGAGAAAAGCCATTGATACACACTCTATACAAGTTTTTTATCCATGTATATAAATCAAAGGAAACAGTTTCCTTTAAGGCAAGCATATGAAGATACTAAAGCAAGATACCAATTAAATATTCATACATTCAATATTTCAAAATAAGGAATTTGGATATACACATGCATAATTTAAGTTCTATAGTGAAACATATCTACAGAGGCCATTTCTACTGTACTGCAACAGCATCCCAACTTGAAATGTACAATGCATCCTTTCCCATGCCCTGTTAAACTTTAAATTCTATAGTAATTCATCTCAAGCACTAAACACAGAATAAAGGCCATGTTGTGCACACAGCACATTTATCAGAACTACAGCTTTGCCCTCATCATTTTACTACTCATTGCATGGAGATACTACATTCCCCTACAAAAAAGAGAGGCTGGGAAGGCTGTATTAAAATAAGCAGACTTACTGAATTTTAAAGTGAATTAAAAGTTTAGCATTAACTGTAAAACATTTACAGCAGCTGAAGTCATAGCAGTGATATATAGAGACATGCGAACAAGACCAAACTATTTATTCATATTTAAGGTAAGAGCCGTTTTGCATCCTTGTCCAGTAACCCACACACAGGTAACATCTGCAGAATGATTTACTTAGAACACATCTCCATCCTACTCGTCACTGGCTTTTCCCTGCCATTTATCTCCTCTTTACTGTCCAATCAATTCAGGACACTTTAAACACCAGTAGACATCGATCTTCCCTGGGCCCAAAAACATGTCAGTTTTCTGAGCATTCTTTCTGTATGAACTTTTCTTCCATTATTAACACAATATTTTATGTGCTCCACCCCTGGAAAGATGGTGCTTTCTCATGAAGCCCCCTCTTCCTTCTAGGATCTCGCTCCGAGTAGACTTTCTGCAGAGTTGAAGGAGCAGCAAACAATGCATGAAGCTTGCCCTGTAATCTAGCAATTGTTAGTAATAGCCTGCTGGGTGTTTATGCATTTATCATTGCTGTGGCGTACCAGGAGGGGGCTCCATATGCAAAATGCCCCAGGGAGGCAAAGCAGGGTGCTGAGACTGTGTAGACACCACCTGGACTCACTATGTGAACAAAGGGCATCTGCATCCTACCCTCTCTGTATGCAGAGGCCAAATCGTGCATCGAAATTAGTGTAATGCAGGAAGCAGAGCATCTTAGAAATAGAAAGAAAAGTATTAAGGGATATTAGAGATGGAAGGAGAGACTGGTGGAGCTAGAACTGTCTACATTAGGTGTGATTCCACAGTAAACATTAGAAGACATTAGGAATGACACTTTGTAGGGCAGGTTAGTGTTTGAAACTTACTGAGCAAGACCTCCATTTAAAAAGAAGAGGCTACTCAAGTTTGACTGAGCTCAGAAAATCTTTCACCTATTCTCTTAGCAGCAAGTGCATGTTCTGAAAGCAATCATGAAGCTTCAACAAATTACTGAATGACAGTGCAACAATTGTCTGTATAATGGGTTGAATCAAGAGAATCTTTCCTGCAACAGAGAATGTGTCTCTATATCCAACACATATAGAAAGTGTACAGGAAAGTACACTAGTTGTGTAAACTATGGAGAAGAAGAATGTGTTCACTTTTGCACCAAAGGTTAAATATTTATCTTTATATAGCTATGGAACAGCAAAAGCAAGATTGTGAACAGGTAAGTAAGTACGCAGTCACAAGTTACAAAATGCCATGTAAAATGTGTACCTACAAGGAGAAGTACTTCATATGCAGAAAATATATCTATCTATTGGCCTTGCAATGAATATAAACTTGCCTCAAAGCTAATACTTTAATTTTCAAGAAGCAAGTAAGGGGATTTAAAAAAAAAAAACCTAGTCAGTAACAATGCAGCGTCGAAAAGCAATAAAATCAAAATTAAGTTATAAATAATTTAAAGCTTGTCATGAAGATGTATTAATAATTCATCAGATAAATAATTTACTAAATAATCAAATAAATAAATAATGAAATACATAAATAAATCAGCAAATAAATAATTCTGCAAAATAACCTAAACAATAAGTCACTAAAACAAATGACAGCCCTACAAAACTATAATGATTTTCTAAATTCTGATAGTTTTAAATAAACAAATGTATATAAAGTAGATCAATCTTTGTTAGATAAAAAGATATTTTTTCAGTGATACTGGTGAATTCCTGATTACACTGCAAAGGCTACACTTTAAATTTCATAAGAATGGAGCTATCTTTGTAAATTAACAAAACTGCTACTATATATCTTGTCCCTTACATTCCATGCGCTCCCTTTGTACAACTAATTTTTCATCAAATATATATGGACAGGCACTTTATAATATTTTTAATTCACATTCTTTTCAATGCAGTACTTACAATACTGCTACAAATACTGCTACAGCCCTCCTTCGTAGATTTCTTACTATCTTCTTCAAACCTTCAGAAGTTTTGCTGCAGGGAAAAACAAGTGGAATAACCTTAATTATTACAGATGGTATCTCATTCATTAGTGGATGACAACATTTTATTTGAAAGCATACGAAAAGCTGTTTTATAATTCTACAAAGCAACTTAATGTGAAACAACCATTACTGTTTGCCGACTACCTAAAGTTTTTAGAAGTCTTTGGTGGAATGATTTCAAGCAGACTGATGTGTGTTTGTTGTATTTAAACTGACACACAATCTGTGCAAACTGGCAGTCATTCAGTTATGAAGACAAAATGTGAGAAGGACAAAATGCTTGGCTGACTTTTAAATCCTTCCTCAACGTTTAAAGCTCATAGTCCTTGGAAATATACAGAGGTTACCAAGTTTTTACTATCTGAATGCACTCGCCATTTAAAATTAAAACAATACCTTCCACATCCTTGAATGGTAGTGTCAATCAGGGGCAACCAGTAAGGTAAAGGTAAAGGGATCCCTGACCATTAGGTCCAGTCGTGGCTGACTCTGGGGTTGCGGTGCTCATCTTGCTTTACTGGCCAAAGGAGCCAGTGTACAGCTTCCGGGTCATGTGGCCAGCATGACTAAGCCGCTTCTGGCGAACCAGAGCAGCACACAGAAATGCCGTTTACCTTCCCGCCAGAGCGGTACCTATTTATCTACTTCCACTCTGACGTGCTTTCGAACTGCTAGGTTGGAAGGGGCAGCGACCGAGCAACGGGAGCTCACCCCGTTGTGGGGATTCGAACCGCCGACCTTCTGATCGGCAAGTCCTAGGCTCTGTGGTTTAACCCACAGTACCACCCGTGTCCCAGGGCAACCAGTAGAATGTTACAAATCAAAATTCATTCAGGATTTGTTTTAGTATACTAAATTGGAGCTCCAAAGCATTGTACTGCAAAACATAGTGGGACAAACATGTTCCCAACTATACTAATTACAGTGAATAGAATTATTTCCCACTACTGATATTCTAAGAATTCTCTGTATTCTAAGAGTTCTCTATTTTATGGAAGTGCCTTGAAATGTAATTGTTACCTGGTCCTGGTTTCTTGTAAACAGCAACCTAAAAGCAAGACTTGTAGAATTTCAAAGGTGCTTAGGGCTATTCTTACAGTTCCTGGACTTCTTTTGTGGATAAAGTCTGAACTATTTAGGGGACCGTAATGAAGAAACAATCATACAAAAAACTATTTGTTATACATAATCCATTGAACAGATTTCCACATGTCAACAAGGAAAATCAATATTGGAAGTGAGATGTGTTTTGCTGCATGGTCATGCCAAATTACCTGTAATTTTCCTGTCTATATTTATGGAAGCAAACTGAACAGCTCCAAATCTGCTATAATTTAGACTATCTCACTGGACAGTCCTTGTAGACCAAACTATTAAACTATTTGTGTGGAGTTTACTAAGATTAGCTTAGTCTCTTAGACATACAAGATTTCTATTTATTTCTTTATTTCATAAAATTTATATACCGCTTTACTGCAAAAAAAAATCAAAGCAGTTGACAAAAAAAAATTGCAGCCATAATTTAAAGCCTACAGAAAGAGTAAAACACAATAGATACCAAAAGCAAGGAGTTCCAAAGTGTTGGTGCTGCCATACTAAACAACAGAGTTCTTACAGATACAGAAGATCTATTTTATATTTATTTACTGTTTTCTTAAGGCCGTCCATAATACAGTCACATGTTGAGGGCTACATAAGTACATCTAAATGGCATTCTAAACTGCTGTTTTCTGCTCTAGTTTAAGCAGTGGGAACTGTTCATAAAGACATTCAAAATATATGCTGCATCTCCTAAGAATCCTCTTAAGTCTTTCATATAGTAAACATTAAATTTCAGTTTAAAGGATAGGTGCAATTAAGTGGCATCTTAGTATTAGCAGGAATTGCATTTAAGCTATTAGATAAAATGTGGGGAAGGGTAGTTCAGTGGTAGCAGCACATGCTTTGCATGCAAGTTCAATCCCTGGCATCTCTAGGAAGGGTTGGGAAATACTTCCTACCTAAAACCCTGAAGAACCTCTTCCAGTCAGTGTGAACATTACTGAGAAGGATGGGCCATGGCAGCTTCTTAGGTTCTTGTGTTTTTTCTAATTCTTTAAAATACTGTACAGCAGCATAGTTCCATAAACTATGTGTGTGTTTCTAATGATTAGCAAGAATAACAGTCTTTCAAAAGCAAACAATGAGCATATGATGGTGGGAAGCAATGCTTGATGCTGAGTATATAGACATGGTTAGAACTGTGTTATTACATCCTATGGCACTTACTTTTGAGTAGACATATATAGGATTTTTTTAAAAATCAGGTCCAGTAAAAGGAAATAATAGCAAGACATAGGCTGAATGGTAATAACTGAGTGCTGAGGACAAAAAAATCTTTGAAGCCATCACAGAACTTACAGAGGGATGCACAACTTGTTGCAAGAGCTATCTCATTGTATCTGCCACTTCAACACTGTTTCAATTATTAACTCAAGTGGTCAAATTCATTGTAATTTGATGACATTTGCACAACAAAGTTCTACTATTTTCCATCTAAGGTATTAAATATAAGGAGTTTTCAAAGACACAGAACAATGGTGCAAAAGTTACATTAAACTAATGCATGGCCACCTTTTCCCAAGAATACCATCCAGCTCTGGAAACTTTTGATTTATGGATATACTGTTTTAAAGCAGTTCATACATTAACAAAAATGCAAGAAAAGGTGGCAATACTGTTGCAGCTCTTATCCTATTGGCAGCATATCTACTTTAAATGGGGTGTTGTTTATTTGTTGCATATAGCAGAATTAATGACACTAGAATTAGCTTACCCTTCTTGAAGCATTATATGAGATTATTCCTTGGTCTCTTCCTCTTTGATTTAGTACACCTTTTAAGATTATTTATTAATGTTTGGATATCTCATCCATCATCCATTATTATTGGTGTCGTAAATTAGAGGAATGGAACAAAGCACTGGACTATTCACTTTTTCCATATTCATCAATAAAACAATCGCCTCCTCTGGCATGTAGTGAAAGAAATAAGTTGGTTTTAGCTGTCAGACTACAAGAACTCCCTCCTACATAAACAACTTCTATGGATAATTTCTGAAATCTGGCACAATCGCATCAAAGCAATTCTCTCCTATGGGGACGGTGAGAAATTGGAACTGAACAAGCAGAAGGAGTACAACAGTGGAAAGATATATATGATTTGAGGATGAAGAAGAGCTGTGATAATGAGTGGGAGAAGGAAACTGGGAAAGGAAAGATGTGTGTGCAGGCTGACTTGGGAAAATTTGGCATGAACTGTGGTTCAGGGTTCAAGAGGCCTGGCTAGCTCTATGTAACACTGGGATTGTGTTGCTCATCAACCAGCGGCAGCAACTGGGATGAGGAAGACCACCGATTTCAGATTCCAAAGCAGTTTAAAATACTAAGTGACAGCTAGTGCAAACCAGCTTTGAGAAACCCCACCCTCATATCCACATGGAATGAGAGGCAGGATCATATTACTAAATGTGCTCTAGACATTTGTCATCATAATCCAGGATCCAAACTAGGTTCAGAGTAAACTGGAGCTCTCCCTGCCAATTCATTTCCTCTTCAACACTGATTCCAGCCACACAAGCTATATTTCCCATGCTTCCAGGTATCCTGGACATAGTTGTGTTTGCTCATAAGAGCATCTAAGGGCTACTAGAAACGCTACCTGTTGCCACATAAAGATAAATATGGGACAAGAGTGGTGAAGAGGGGGGCACAAGGAACCTAACTGGATCCATTCTGGTTTGGGTTGAGTTGAGATGAGACTGAATGTAAACATAGTAAAAAAAGGGGGGGGATTCTGGAAATAAAAGTAGGAAATGGCTATTTGTCCAATAAAGTTTAGAGACTAAAACTATAAACCACCCCACTTTGGAGATATAGCAGTAAAATTTCACTACCAGTAATGCCTTTCAGCAACATGCAATGATAATTAATTTTGCTCTACACTTTCCTCCATGGGTACTTTCTCATAGGAGAAAGTTATTATATAGCATTTTATCTTTAAAACACCAATCCCCAATCTATTTATATATTAGGAATGATAATATATTTTGACTAAAACAACATTTTGGGCCCTCCTATTCCAGTAACAACTATGTCAATGGAAGAGATGTTAAAAGCCTAGACACGAAACAGCTATGTTTTCCCACAAAAACTGACACAAAACTAAGTGTTCAGTGAAGAGGGCTATTACACAACTGGGGGAGAGGGGAGAGACGAGTCTGGCTGGATTTGATCTCTGGACTACAAGTTGCTGGATATACCGTAAGATTAAGGAAAGCTACTTTAACTGTGCAATATATTCACTTTACCTCCCTTCTTCCTTCTAGGATATAGGTATGACTCTTCTTGGGTTTATATCACAATGATATTGAGTAAAATATAATTAAGATCTTATTTTGCTAGTATCTCTTACAAAGTCGGTTTTGGATATCTTTAAAGTACTAGATTGAACATGGTCAACAAAATGGGAGGACTTCTGGAGCCACAGCTGTTGCTTTCTTCTCATTTACTGAAGCTTCCTTGGACTCTAATGTATTTATAGACTTTTATCACTGTAGACGCGGTGATTATATGCAAGGGAACTGAGAAGCAATGGTTATGGATACAAATGCATGAAGCCCCAAGGCTTCTGGAGCAGAGAAGACCTCAATGCATTAAGCTCTATCAAATTTTCTTTCTTGCAGCGAGGAAACTGTATGTTAGACTCCTTAATGATTGCATCATACGCACTGTTCACTCTAGTTAAAAAACTGATTAAACAAATAGCTAGATAAGCTCTTTGGAAAAAAGTCTGGTCCCATACCCACTAGAAGTGTAGGCAAGATAATCTCTATACCAGCATGCATAAGCATGATATGAATGTTAACTGCATTGTATTCCTAAGCATTATTATAAAATTATACTGCCTTCCTTGAAGCAGTGAGATAACAAAAGCTACACTTTAAAAAAACACCTTTAGAAATATCCACCTTTTCCTGCTACTTTCAGGCAGCTTGGCATTATAAACTGCTGGACAGAGAGAGTTTTTAAGACTACTCTCGGGGGTCATATGCTCCAACTCACCAATGGAAGTAAAAATATGCCTACATCTGGTCAAAGTGCTTAGGTAATTAACACTGCTAAAAAGGCATAGAATTTCCATCAATCTGGAATTAGTCTCTGCAATCATTCTAATTACCTTATTGACTTCTTTCACCATTCCCCAGTTGCTCTTTTAAAGTTTAAGCTTACAGTAACCACACTTAAGAGCCCAAATAACTGTCCCATTTCTTATGCCCTTGATTTAATCTTTAATGGCCGATTCTAACATATATTATGTGCCCCGTGAAAACTGCTAGCAGTACTTTTGCATGGTGGTAGCTTCCCACAGTAGTTTTAACATGTCAAAAGCAGCTCACTGTGTGGATTGCCTGAGTCACATGGAGTCAGCCCTACGCCAGTGCCAGCTGCCATTATGAATGTGTAAAAAGGTAAAGGTAAAGGTACCCCTGACCGTTAGGTCCAGTCACGGATGACTCTGGGGTTGCAGCGCTCATCTCGCTCTATAGGCCGAGGGAGCCAGCGTTTGTCCGCAGACAGCTTCCAGGTCATGTGGCATCCTGACTAAGCCACTTCTGGCGAACCAGAGCAGCGCACGGAAACACTGTTTACCTTCCCGCCGAAGTGGTACCTATTTATCTACTTGCACTTCGACGTGTAGTGTGGGCTAAATAGCACTCGGCAGCCTCTGTGATGAGCAACAATAATATGTTACAACTGCCATGTGGAGTCACTATGATTGTGGAAGAATGTTCAGAAGATTCTAAGGGACCACTGTAACATACAACTCAGCCCAAAGAGGAATATAAACACCATCTATTAAAAAATAAGTATAGTGTCTGAAATACAGTAACTTTAAAACCTGCCATATTCCAAACAATAAACCTTCAATCAAGCAAGTAATGGGCAAACCCTAAAAACATGTTATCATATTAGAGGCTTGACACCAAGAAAGCACCATGACATACTCATCATGTTACACAATATACTGTCTCTCCTACCCAGTAAATTTATATTGATTGTAATGACAGTGATTTGTTAATTCAGAGTCCTATTTAAATGGAAGCTTTCCATTGCTGAAGTCAGCAGCCATGCCATTCATGTATCCAAGACTATGAAAACACACCGATTTTCTTTCCTAGAACGAGTATTAAACAGCCTGAAACACACAACTGCAATGTTTGACTTCATGAAATAAGTGCTTACTCAGCAAGCATACAGCAGGTAATGCATTATTCCACTTAAATTTAGTAGCACTTTATTATCCATTTTACACAAGAATCCATAACAGCAGCAAGTATATTGTTTGACACACAGTGAAAACCCACATATTGTGTCTGACCTCTGTCAGATGAATTAATAATTTCTTTAACAGTGACAAAGCATCATGAGGAAAACAAAACAATACAACATAGAAGGTAGCATTCTAATAATGAAGATCGCCTTTGACAAACAAATTGATAGGTACTTTGAAAAGATGGGCATAAGATTAAAAAAATGGGCAAATTCAGTTTTCCTCTGGACCAGGAATAAGAAAATTGAATTTATGAACATCATGGTGATACTAAAATATGGCATTCTTTCTTTGTTTTGTACCTATCTGAATCTCTGTTTCATTGAAAAGAACAGAATACTTCATACACACAATTTTTATAAATATATGTATATGTACAAAACAAGTGTACACACATGCATGCACACACACACAAAACTATGTAACACTGTGTGTGTACATGCACACTGCTCAAAATACATGACATGTGCGGCTACTTTGCCCTCTGAGGCCTGTAGCAATTGTACCCAGCTGCCCCCCTCCTCTGCACACAGGCCTGTTGCTAAATTGAATCTCCAAGTTCAGAAATACTATGCCTATCCATTGCTGGCGGAAGAGGTTGAATGGCAGGGGTTTGTTATTTCCTTTATGTTTTACAAAAATATATGTTATAAGAAGCAAAATTCTAGGCGCCAACATCAGATTTTACAACTGTATTGAGTGGGAGGATTTACAAGGTTCCCCAATACTGTCGCTGTGGCACAGTGTTATATCACAGAAACAAAACACAGAAGTTAGTAAAGCATTGATCTCTTACACAATGACATCAATATTTTCAGAACTTTCCCCGCCTGCAGGCAGAATGGCTCTCTCTACAAGCAATCTCTCTTCCACACACATATACATACAAAAATGCACACTTATGGTTTGAAACTTTTGTATTTAAAGTATTTTCTCCAGGCATATGCTTCGTATTGAAGAGCACTCTATAACTTCATTTGGCACCAGCGCCAAAGGAAGGCTCTTACATGGTTTCATCACAAATTCTGATCAAGAAACCCCAGTGTACTGCTTTTTGAAAACTTGTGGGTAGGCAGTTTCAGTGACGTAACTTGATAAACTACATCTGAAAAGTAAGCTCTACCCCTGGGGTAGAGAACTTGTGGACATTCAGAGTGTTTGGACTATGAGTCCCATCATCTCTGTACCGACCAGGCTGGCTGGAGCTGGGAGTCCAATAATATGTGGAGGTTCACTTGTCCCCCACTGCTTTAAATTCATGCAACAAATAAGCTAGTGATCTTTAAGGTGCCACAGCTTTCCTGCTTCTTCAAATACTTGTCATTTCCCCCCTTCATTTCTGTTACAGTTTCCTGGACAGAAAATTAAAATAGACATTTTACTAACCAAAACTGATACTTTCCCCACATTGTGGGTTTTATACCAGAAAATGTTACGTGTTGCATAATATTTAAATGTGCATGTGCATGTACACAGCCACATGAACACACACCCCTATACAGACAATTATGCGCAACGACTGGCTATTTGGTTACTAACAAAAAATAGGAAGCCTCAAAAATGAAAAATGAAAAGAGAAATTTGTCTCTAAAGCACGGGTGTCAAACACAAGGCCCGCGGGCCGAATCCGGCCCGCCAGACCTCGTCATGTGGCCCGTGTAGCCGCCACTGGCCACCAGCCTTCACCTTTTATTCTCGCTTTTTTTTTTTTTTACACAAGAAAGCCGCCTCTTCAGCGCATGCGCGGCAGCCTACAAGCCAGAGAACGTCTGCCCTCTAGTGGTGCCGGCCGTTCTACACAGGAAACCTCCACTTTACATGCATTCAGGAAACCTCCACTTGTTTTTATATTGAGTGCATGCCATCCTGTGATGTGACAGATCCAACGGCTGCCTGAACCCTTCTCTCCTGTACTGTAAGTACATATGATGTATAGTCCTACAGATAGAACCGGCCCTTTGAGGGTGACCAAACTGCTGATGCGGCCCCCCAATGAATTTGAGTTTGACACCCCTGCTCTAAAGTATTGTTCAATATGCCGAACACATTATTTCCTTACAAACTGATCAAAAAGCTTCTGTTTCAAACGGACATACAAGGCAAGATCTCCTTAGTTTTTAGTTACTGCCTTATTCATTATCCCTCTGCACCAAATGAGGGCCAATGCACAATATATATTAGGGTAACTATCCCAGAGAGGTTTTAAAAGACAAGTATGCAAATTATTCATGGGATGAGAATCAGCACCAGCAACCCCAAAACTGCTAGGACTCTTATGCTCCCTGTTCTCTTCCCAATCAGGAAATGCAACTCCTGATACTGAACACCCCATTGCTTATGTTCAAAAAGGGCATAATTATAAAACCAGCTGTCTCCAATGCCTTATGGACAGTGATGAAGAGGAAAAGGTGGACCATAGACAACTCTATGACATTAAATCCATCACCTAATGTTCTCCTTGAAGGTGCCTTAATCATGACTGGACTGCCACACTTATCAGATATCCACATTGTGACAGATAAAATGCAGGGAAAACAAATGGTTTGTGGGGAAGGGTTCCCCACTGAATGTGGCTATGCCAGTTGGTTCACTGTTTAACTCAAGTGTTCTTGAAGAATTCATCTAACATAAATGGGTGGCGTTATGGATTCATGCCTCTGAAAACGAGGGTTTTCTGTCATTCTGTGGCTTGGAAAATATCCTCAAGTACAATTACACTAACTGGATGCACTTTTTGAATTTAATCATGAAGTAATTTACTGCAAGGGGACACGGGTGGCGCTGTGGTCTAAACCACTGAGCCTAGGGCTTGCCGATCAGAAGGTCGCTTCGAATCCCCACAACGGGGTGAGCTCCCGTTGTTCGGTCCCAGCTCCTGCCCACCCAGCAGTTCAAAAGCACATCAAAGTGCAAGTAGATAAAGAGGTACTGCTCCGGTGGGAAGGTAAACGGTGTTTCCATGCACTGCTCTGGTTCGCCAGAAGTGGCTTAGTCATGCTGGCCACATGACCCGGAAGCTGTCTGAGGACAAACGCCGGCTCCCTCAGCCTACAGATCAAGATGAGCACCGCAACTCCAGAGTCGTCTGCGACTGGACCTAACGGTCAGGGGTACCTTTACCTTTAATTTCCTGCAAGCAAGACACGGCAGTCTCTAGTAAAAGAAAATGAGTTGTGCTTAAGTCCCATTGAAATCAGTGGGATAAGTTAGTCATTAGTAACTTGATGCCACATTAATTTCCACAGGACTTAAACATGACCAACTTATTCTGGACTAGGACACATAATTATTACATCCAGGCTGCAATTCCATGCAGACTCAGGTGGGAGTAACCCAGTTTAAACAAAGTGGGTGTAATTCCACACAAACAAGTTTAAGATCGAACTAACAGTTAATGAAACATGTTTTCTGAATGTGGCAGATTATCATTAACAGCTCCATAGTCACTAACCGTGTTTAATACTAAATGTGCACCAGCATGCCGTGTGTTTGACTGTGAACCAGGCCACAATCAGGGCATGCCACTTTTTCACCTTGTGCATAAAATGCAGTATTCATGCTTAAAATCCTACATTGTGTCCCTAGTATACTTTTTAAGCAAGAAACTTCACTGAATTATTATTTCAAAAGAGATGTGTTACTCTATAAAGATAACAGCCAGACACAAAAAAATTACCTTACACATGTCCAAGTGCTTGGGCTGAACTGTAATATATATATATATATATATATATATACACACACACACACACACACACACACACACACAGAACGCCTCTACAACCCATGTAACAAATCACTTTTGAAAGTCCCTGAAATTTCATGATTTGCTATATAATAGGGAGTACTTCACCTAGAATATAGGCCCAGAAGACACAAAACTACCGTAGTTGCATGGGTTTTTAAAAATAAAAATCCTAGTCCATACAAATTAACCCATCAACTCATAGGCACTAAACTAGGGACTTGTAAGCATGACAACTCCATGTCTTTCAATAAAGTCTTCCACAATTCAAAACACCTTAAGCCACTTTACGAAGGGGATTGATTGTGCTATTATCCCATATGTAGACTTAATATACTAGAGAGAAATCAAACCACACTTAAAAAAGAGAATCTGAAAATTGGGGAACTACAAGGTTCGTGTAATCTCAAACTGTTCTCTAAACAATAGGGTGTTCTCAGTACTTAGGAGGCAGCTTCTAGTTTGGTTTAAAAAAAGAAAAAAGCAGGAACAGAAACGATGAGTAAGCAGATGTCACAAAACTTCATTTCTGAATTTGGCAACGGGAAAACATTATTGCCTAAGGCCACAATCCTGTATCCAACTGCCTAGAAATAAGCAGTGCTGGACTCAATAGGACTGAGTAGATATGTATAGAATGGATCTGTAAGGCATGTGTGTATATACAGTGGTACCTCGGGTTAAGTACTTAATTCGTTCTGGAGGTCCGTTCTTAACCTGAAACTGTTCTTAACCTGAAGCACCACTTTAGCTAATGGGGCCTCCTGCTGCCGCCGTGCCACCGGAGCACGATTTCTGTTCTCATCCTGAAGCAAAGTTCTTAACCTGAGGTACTATTTCTGGGTTAGCGGAGTCTGTAACCTGAAGCGTATGTAACCTGAAGAGTATGTAACCCGAGGTACCACTGTATACATATTCACACACACACACACACACACAAACAAAACTTATTTGGTCACAAGGCCCACCAAACTCAACAGAACTGACTCCTGAGAAGACATGCATAGGATTCCACTGTCCAGAAGAGGGATATGAAAGTGAAACTACCATAAAACGCCAGAACTGAAGTTTTGTGGAGAGGCAACTAAGGAAAACCGAGCAGCTTGAGCAAAGAAACAAGAGCGTCGGAGAAGAGGAGGGAAGGAAGGAAAAGTTCTACTAGCTTCACCTATGAGTAGATTAGGAGGGGGTGGTGAAAACAACGCCCACATGAGCAGCTCCCGTCCTCTCTCTCTCTCTCTCTCTCGCCTCTTGGAAACCAGCTGAGGGTGAGAAACTCGGCAACCACCAAACTAGCAGCAGCAGCGGCGCCAGGAAGCGCCTCCCCGCAACCTGCTTCTAGAAACGGGCGCGCAGGAGGGTGGAAGAGGAGCGGCCTTTGACGTTGCAGGCCTCAAAAAGAGCCACTTCCTCCCCTTCTCCGGCTGCCCTTCAGTGACAGCCGGGAATGGAGGAAGCCGTGAGGGGACGGAAGCGGGAAGGAAGGACGGAAGGAAAGACCTGGGGTGGCTGCAGCCGAGGAGGCGGCCATTTGGGAGCGGGAAGGGGTTGGGGATGTGGCTGGGAGCGGGCGGCTTTCGTCGGCTTTTACCTGCTGCCGTTGGTGCAGGGGCGCTGGAGAAAGCGGCTCTGCCTGCCTGCCTCCTCCCCTCCTTGCCCGCGTCCCTCCCTCTCTCCCTCAAAAGCCTTCCCCCCACGGCCCGCCAGGCTGAGGGAAAAGAGGAAGGAGGCCCAGCAACCACCTTCCTCGAAGCCTTGCGCCGGTAGCCGAGTTCAACCGCCGCCCCCTCGCCTCTTGCACGCAGGCGCCCGCCTTCGCTGAGGGGAAGCGGAGGCCGCCCACACCGCGCGGCGACGGCGCGCTGGCCTAGATCCGGCGGCTGCTCGGAGCGGGGCACTTTCGGGACGCCTGTCGGTCTGAGGGGCCCGGGGACTCGGGCGAGGGACAGGCCGGGAGCGGAGGGAGACGCGGAGAAGGTTGGGGCTGTGGGCTTGTCGGCGCGTGTGAGGCGTTTGGGAGGAGAGCGGAGTCCGCGGCTTCCTCGCCGCGAGCCGGGAAACGGTCAGCTCAGCGCCTTAGACTAACCTTCCAGTTGGATAAAACGTAAAAGGAAAGCCAGGGGCAGCTCTCCGTTGACTTGGAGGCCCACTGAGTCGAAGGGGACTTGCCGCCTGGTTACTGTGGAAGACGGTGCTGAGGAGACGAGCGTGTTTCCTTTATTGCCTTTGCCCTCGCCTCGCTTTCCACACACACACCCCGGAAATAAAAAAAGCAACTCCCCCACCCCAGAAAACCCCCCACCTCAATTACATTCCTGCTCTTGCAGGCTACTTTTTCTGAAACTTGCTTTAAATTGTTGTTGCTTTTTTTGTTCGTTTGCTTAAAGGTGAAGTGGCAGGAAGATTGTAAAGCTGGACTAAAATGCGGACTGAGCATCCGTCTCCCAGGGGTGCCGACTTGAATAAAATATTGTGGGGGCCCAGGTAAGCCCCACCCTTCATAATCGATCATGTTTGAATGGGAATGGCCATCAACTTTGTGGGGGATTGGCCCCCTCAAATAATTTATTGTGGGGGCCAAAAACCCCAGCGCCCCTAGAAGTTCTATGCCATCTCCTTGCATTTTGAAGCAGTGGTTTCAGTGGGTATACTTGAGCATGACATAAGTTGGATGCAACCCTGTGGTCCTAATGTTGGTATATTCTGCTTCCTTTCCACCAGCTCTTATTTATGACAGTTTAATTCAGTGGTTCTCTCCCCCCCCCCCCCATACTTCCAGAATAAAAAATTGCTCGCACCACACCAAAAGTTTAATTGATATAGAATGCATTGGGAAACACAACTAGGATTGTCCTCAGTATCACTTCAAGGTCTTTGCTCTCATTTTGGAAAGCTATCCATATTCTGCAAATAAAATATTTTGATACTATACTACACAACATTGAAATATTCAAATGTTTCATTGATTGGCCTTCATTCTTCCCACTACATCCTCTCCTGCCACACTAGTGTGGTAGTCCACACTCTTCAAAAACCACTGCTTTAATGAGACCATAGGTAAAAGGTAAAGGTACCCCTTACCATTAGGTCCAGTTGCGGATTACTCTGGGGTTGCAGCGCTCATCTCACTTAACTGGCCAAGGGAGCCGGTGTTTGTCCACAGACAGCTTCCGGGTCATGTGGCCAGCATGACTAAGCCGCTTCTGGTGAACCAGAGCAGCGCACAGAAATGCCATTTACCTTCCTGCCAGAGCAGTACCTATTTATCTACTTGCACTTTGACATGCTTTCGAACTGCTAGGTGGGCAGGAGCTGGGACTGAACAACGGGAGCTCACCCCATTGCGGGGATTCAAACCACCAACCTTCTGATCGGCAAGCTCTAGGCTCAGGTTTAGACCACAGTGCCGTCCACACATACCCTTTTACCATGTTTAATTAGGCTGCCTGCTCGTTGATATTAAACATCAGGCAAAGTAATAAGGTAGCATTCTGCTCGTGATCAGCTTCATTTTTTGAGGGAAGACTCAATACACTTATTAGCGAAAAGCAGGGCTTTTTTTTCAGCCAGAGCTCAACTCTGGCACCTTTCAGGTGGGCGCCATTGCCACTCTAAGAGAACAAGGGAGAAGTTCCTGGTAAACTCCTGCACCTCTTTTCCTGTAAAAATAACACTGGCGAGAAGACACTGCTGATTTTAAAAAGCCTGCATCTCTTGAAGCGGATCAGGTGCAAAGTCCTGTGTGTAATTTATAAACTTTTCTCTCTGCTTCCTGTATGGGCGATATTCTATCTTTTGAAAGGAGGCTGGACTTTGGTGGACAATATTGTTTACAGAACCATTTGCAAAACATGGCATTCACTTCAAAAAGCAGTAGTTTCCTACTGTCCATTTTTACTTACACTGATCTTCAGCATAGTAAAGGATTTTGTTAGAAAGAATTATTATCTCTTCTCTGATCAGCCTACCACTGTTTCTGATCAAGACTGCTGACTGGTGTTTTACAGCAGCAGGTTTAAACATCCTGTTCTAATATAAGCACAGTAAAGTTAGGCTTATTTCTGGTAACAACAATTTAAAGTTGTTACCAACTGCTGAATATGCACAAGATTTCCTCCATATTGGGACATTTTAATTTTAGCCTGCTTCCTGAAAGAATAAGCCAGCCTTTCATTTGCAGATTCCACGGTATATCATTTAGTACAATATTGGACAGCTGGAATGTTCTTGGTGATAATTGTAGAAAATATTAATTCTGTGGAACCTAGTTCAACGTTTGGCCTTAAAATCATATTGATTAAATTAACTAGTGCATAGGTATCCTGCTGGCATGTGTACTAAAGGCAGAGGCGACCTTATCACTAAGGCAAGGTGAGGTAACTGCAGGTGCCAATTGTTCCTCTTGACTCTCCCAACCATTTTCATTTGTTAGTAGTATGTCCTGCCTAACCAGCCTACTGCTTCATTTATAGTTGACTCGTATTTTGTTAAAGAATGAACTTATGAATGTGACCTTATCAATGGAGTCCAAACCTTAGGATCCAGCAGTATTCTCAGTGGGTGTGGTCCAAAATACTTACAGATAAAAGATCTTCAGATAAGAGCTGAACTCGGAAAGACCCACAACAGGGCTGTTTTGCTTTCTTTTTCCAACAGTAGCTTCCCCATGCTGTTTTGCCTATCACTACAACATACCCACATTTCAACACGTTGGCAGGGGCATCACTATCCTAATGCAAACATAAAGCAGTATCTTGTGCTGCTTTCAGTCGTGGAACCAGTCACAATGTAATAAATGAGCTGTGTGTTTTGCCAACTTCAGTTGGAACTTGGCTGGGCTGCCTGCCTTTTTCTTACCTGGGAACTATGAATGTGTCTACCTATGTGAGGTAGTGCTCAAATGGCATTCCCTTTCCCAACAAGAAAAACTATGTCTTTAGTTTTAGTGGGTATATTGGGGTAGTGTTGTTCACTTTTAGTATGACGTTAACCAGAAGCAAGCATTGGAAATTGAAGCTTTTAATTTTAACTTTCTTGATTGCATCTGTAGTCCCTCTTCAAAATATTAGTGACAAAATAATGGAAAGTATACCCCTCTTTACCAAAGCTTACTTTTCCCTCCTTCTAGCCTTAACTGCATAGGAGCGACAGAGGTTTAATTTGCAGTTGGTAGCTGCATTCCCCCAAGGACACAATCAGTGAATGATACTAATTGAAAATGAGCCATAAAAATAGAACAACAAGGCTGACCTTATGTATACTAAGTTCAGATTTTGCAGTCAGGCTAGTGATCCTGAAGACATACTGAAAAGGAATTATTTTGTCAACAAGATAGGTAGTAAACACATTGCTGTGGGCAGAATTTATCTAGGATTCCGGAGGCAGCTTGGAATTGCCATACTGTTTGTCACCCATTGTCATTTTAAAAGAATCTGCGCCACAAATGGCTGACTTTGGCGCTACATGGTTTCACTGGCTACCTCCTGTTTATAAAGATTTACAGGGTCACTGCAATGTTAAGTGCAGATTTTGCTACTGGTGAACTTTACTGTGTGAAGTATTCAGGGCCTATTCATATTTTAAATTAACTTTACAATAATTGTTACCTTGATGTATTGAGCATTTCCTGAAGAACATTTTAGGATTCCAGAAGAACACATACCAATGCCCTAATATAAACATATTAATTGGTATGGGATTGCTCCGCTTAAATAGGCTATAAGCGACAATATTTCATTATGTTTCTTACTCATGAAAATAAGGTCTCTGTTGTGACTGCAGTTACACTTCCACTGCCTGCCACCATAACCTGGTAACAGTAGCAGCAAAATATTTTTGTTCGGGGCTTTACATTATGTGGAATATTATACAACTATAATAAGTTTGTTTTTATTTTTAGACAACCATTTCACTTTAAAATATTGTAAAGATTTAACTGAATTGTTATTACAGTTTAGGTGTACAGCACGTGGGAAACACAGAACATAAACCCAAAGGCTGCGTCACATGTGAAATCTGCGTGAACAGTTAATCTTTGATTTCAGTAAGAACTATGCAACTCAAGGTTTCTTGCATTCTAGTGGACTACATTAATGTGAATGCTACATGTGGATTAAAACTGCTATGTCAAGAACAATAACTTCACCCAATAACCACAGAAGCCACAAGTAATCTGATGCAGATATATGGTCAACCATAGGAAGACATACATTTTAAGCACTACATGTTAAATTTTAGTTACTGACACCACTTGGACCCTAGCTTTCCTCCAAGGAGTTCCAAGGCAGCATATGGAGTTCTCTCTCGCTTTTATCCTCACAACCACTCAGGCAGGATAGGCTGACAGGGTTGTTGTGATGATAAATGGGAGTAGTGGAGAAAAACTTGCTTAGCACCTTGATATATTTGGAGGAAATGCTGCAATCCTAAGAATACATCATAGGGCATAACTTTCTTTGAAATCAATGGGACTTAATTCTGATTAAATTGGATTTTTAGTGAGTTCTGACTCAGGATTTGAACCTATGCCTCCCTGGCCCGGGGTCTAACACTATAACCCAGGGAGGGGAAAATGTGGACTCCCAGATGTCACTGGACTTCTGTGGCCATTGCTGATATTGCTGGCTGGGGGATGCTGTGAATTTTAGTCCAACGCTGCACCACACATAACATGAAATTATCCTGCCTACCATATTTGAAACCAACTAATCCACTCCCTTGAGTCAAATTGGCTGCTGACACTTTGTTTTCTTTGTTTAACCTTCATTTTTAGTGTAGAGCCACACATGGTATTAGCACCTACAATGTGTGTGTGGTCATACCATCAGCCTACCTCCACTGTCAGGTGGACAGAGTGTTTGTGAGCTTCCCATAGACATCTGAGAGAACAGAATGGATCATTGGCTCTCCTCATGTTCTGATATGCCAGCCTTCCCCAGCTTGGTGTCCTCCCAATGTTTTGGACCACAACTCTCAACACTCATGAACTCTAGCCATGATGGCTGGACTAATAGGAGTTGGAGTCCAAACATCTGGAGGACACTAGATCAGGAAAAGCTGACATAGGCTTGTTTCTTCATTCTAACTGTCAGGTGTATTAGATCATGCTGGATAAGTTGTTGAAAGGAGTCAATGATGGAAGGAGCCAGGAATTAATGACATGCAAGCTCTACAATTTGTGTCAGCATTTATTGTAAATTACATGCTGATCAATAAACATATTTTTTAAATTTAACTACATAATTGCTACTTGGTTGGTTTTGCCAAATAAAAGAAAATTTCCATTAAAGTTTTACCATAAATTTTGCGTTATATAAAATATTTGCTGTATGTATTCAAGGCTGTTATCTAGTGACAGAAAGAGACAATGCCTCAGGAAACATCTAATCAGCACTGCTGTTCTTGGCTCTGCTGGTCATTTACATGTTCAGTTGTAAGAGTTCAGAAATAGGATTGTTAGACTCATATTTTAATGTCAATAATAATACGACCCTCTCAGATTTGCTTCGGTGACTGCAGAGTAAATTAAATATATTAACACCAGCTGGTTGGAAAACTACTCCCGAGAGTTACCATCAGTGGGTCAGAGGGAAATTTTGAGTGGCACACTGCAAAGTTTGGTATTCTTCAACATTTGTATCAATAACTTAAATCAGAGGTGGGAAATTTCTAGTCTGCAGGCCAATCTTAGCTCACAAGGCAATATCCTCCAAACCACAGCCACCTAGCCCATTACTGGGGGAGGGGGGACGGCAGGGAATGCAATGATGAAGCAGACTCCTGCAGCCATCAAGAGCAAATCCTTCACTCATCAGCTTAAAGGGTTAAATAATTTCAATTTCATGCAGCGAGAGCATGGTGTGTGGCTGTTTTAAAGAGCAGAGCCAAAGGGCTTTCAAACTCTGGTGGAGACAAATAGCATGAGCATCCATAGCATGCACAGACCCCCTGACCACCATCAGGTCCCAAGGGAGGGTCACCCAGCACTCCATGATGCCTTCAGCCTTTAACTAACTTTATTTTTTCTATCTGACTCAAACTACAGTCCCCAGCCCCACTCAGATCTTAGATCAATTCTCATTTGTTAACTTGGGGTAGAGATTCAGTAAGGAAAGGCAGAATCACATTTTCCTAATGACTCTTGCATTCCAGGGATTCCAGCAAGAGTCAGACCTTTAAAATACCGCCTTCTAAGTTGTTTCCAAAGTTCCCCACTTCTCTTAGCATAGAAAGAGACCACACTTGGTAAGTTAAAAATGATTTACTTACAAACTCTTCAAAGGTCATATTCATGTGCTTTTCCATACAGCAGCAAGGCTAGTCAGGCAGTTTAACTTAGGCTCCAAAAGTGGTAAATATTTCTAAATTATTTGTATAGAAACACAAATATAGCCATGTGGTCTAAGCTTGGAACACCCATTTTAGACCTCCTCACTGGTAGGGTTCACATGGTGGAAAAAGAGAACAAAAGAGTTTGTTAACCTTCCCAAAGTGAGGGTGTGTGACCTAGCTCAGCCTGGCAAGACAGCTTACTCTATGGTCTTAACCCATTCATGCATTAATTGGAGTTAAGCATGTTGGTTATTTGGGGCTGATTTATCCCACATTAATAACAACAACAATTTCATGCTCCATCCATTTGAGTGGGTTGCCCTAGCAACTCTAGGTGGCGTCTAACAATTAAAACATTAAGCACAGTAAAACATAAAACATTAAAAGCTTCCCTATACAGGGATGTAAGATGTCTTCTAAAAGTCAGATAGTTGCTTATTTCCTTTTCAACAATGAAATCATTGGGAAAAGTCACGAATGGGTTGGATTTCAGTGACTCACATTTGGTATCTCTCTTGACTGGAGTCAGTAATGGGCTGGATAAAAGCCAATAAACTGAAGCTTCATCCAGATAATACAGATATGTTAAGTCTTAACAGTGAAGGGATAATGTCACTCAAGCAAGAAGTGAATATATAGCTTCCTTCAAATGAGATTGCACACCCCTTCAAAAAAGCCAGCCAGGCCTGTGACTTGAGAGTACTTGTGAGCTTGGCTTTGCTACTTGACTTCTAAGTGGCAGCTGTGACCAGGAGTGCTTTCTGTTACAATTGCAATTGTACTTGCTCTGAGCAACAGAGACCTCACTACTCTAATACATACATTGAAAGGCTCTAGACCATGGGTGAGGTTTTTGGAATTCCTAGCAGTTCCAGCCAACATGGTCAATGGTCAGGGAAGATAGGATTTGTAATCCAGCAATATCTGTAGGGTTATAAATTCCCTATCTCTGCCATAGATTATATTACTGTGTTTATTTCTTTATTCATACAATTTTTAAACTGAGCCTTGATCCAAACATAGATTTTAGGGTGACGTACATAAGAATGCCAAATAACAGTGCAACATATAAACAAACAAGAAAATAAAAACAATACAAGAAAATCTGAGAAGTTATGAACCAAAACTATTCAACCAGTATAAACAATACAACAAATCTGTAAAGCCTGAGCTAACAGAAATCTCTTAACCTGGCTGTAATGCATTCTTCAGTGGCACTGCCTTGAAATATACTTGGGAAACTATAGTTGGTCCAAAATACTGTAGTTAGATCCCTTCAAATACAAGAGAGAGAGAGATCCTATTCTGGAAGAGCTGCATTGGCTACGATCTGTATTTTGGGCTTTTGGGCTTTGAAACTGTAAAGCCCTTTGCAGTTGGGGCTCAGGTTACCTGAAGAAGTACCTCTTTCCATACACAGGGATTGCCAATGTGGTGACCACCAGATGTTCCTAACCAGAGCTGATGGGAGTTGGGGTCCAACAACATCTAGAAAGAACTACATTGGCTACTGCTGCTTCAAGAGCTTATGAAGAGACTCTGTTAGGTGTACCACCACAACACTGTAGCAAAGGTACAGAAAGAGGTAGTGGACTTCTGAGCTGCTTCAGTTGCCCAAATTGCCCAAATTTTGGAGCCATCCGTCCAAAATAATCTTCCCCTTTTTAGGGAAATTACAAGCATGGCTCTTTTACAGAGGGCATTGACTAATTAAAGCTGGACGCATAATTGTTGTATTCTCTTGTTAAACCGATTGCTCTTGAGTGATTTAACACTTTTAGCATTGATGTTGCAACTGTTTGTATTTCCAGAATGGTTTATTGATTTTAATTATTTTGTTGTAAACTGCATCAAGAGCTCTGCTGGGATGAGGTGTAAAAATTGAAAAACAAATAAGCATAAAATAGACTGTGTTTGTAGCTGCTCCAATTCCCAAGAGGATCAGCAGCACTTACATGTGCACTTAGACATATACATATGTAAATGTCCCTATTAATTCCTAAATGTGTCATTTTCTTTGGAAATGGTACAAAGCGGTCCTCAGATCATCAGTAAAACTGCTGCTTACTAACTCCATCTAGTACTTCCTACTGGAACCTATGAACTACCATTCATACCTTTGTGATTGTGAGACTCGTATATTATACTGTAGTTAGTCCACTAGCTACATTGGTTCATCTAGCTCAGTATTGTAGACACCAACCTTTTGTAACCTGGTGCCTTCACATTTTTGTATTTTCTACAACTCCCATCAGCATGGCCAACGTTCAAGGATTACAGGAGGTGTGGTCCAATACGTATGCAGGGCACAACACGCAGGGAGGCTAGTTTACACTGACTGGCAACAGTCTCTCCTAGTTCTTTCTGGAGATGCAAAGGATTGTACACGGGGCATTTTGCATGCATTGACCTCTGGTCTTTCCTCAAAGATATTTAAAGGCATATTTTTAAATATTATATATATAATATGTATCCACTCTGAGACTCAGGTAAAAGTAATTAATTGCATTTTAAGAATGCATGAAAGCCCTGGTTATAGTTCCTCTGTTATGCCGTGCACAACTAAATCAAAGTTGTTTTAAAAATCCAGTTCCAAAATTATAACAAGATATGCATTGATGGGCTCAAACCCACACAAAGTTTCAGTGATGTCAGTGAGTTTAACAAGTTGCAGGAGGTCCTCGATCAGGAAGAGACATAATAGGTAAATTTAGGGTATGAGGGTGAAGGAAGATAAGAGTGACAGTATTAGGAACACAAGTTTGCATATATTAAATAAGCATACCATCTGGAGGCTTTATATAGTATTTTTGGCTTTAATGTGATTGATCTGGCCTTTACATTTTTAATATATCTTTCAGATAAACAGGAATAAATTTAGGCTCCTTTTACTAAGTGACTACTGAGGTTTTTCTACCCCTAGTGAGTGGAATTAGAGGAACCAGACGCCAGAACTGTGGCTTCTAGTTCAGTTATGGAATCCTATCACAATCCTGAACCCTTGGATCTACCTGCCTGAAATTTGTTGGGGTTAATCCCCTCTCAGAGGGCTGCTATGTCTGCAATTTTCATGCACCCATGAAAAAAACATCAACAAAGAGTTGTGGAAATTTTGGTTTTCCAATATAAGTCAATGGGATAGCTGAAACTTCAGTTTTCCAGATATTGCTTGGGCTTTGGGGTCTGAGGCAGCCCCCAACCCAGCTATCTGAATCAAATAGGGGCCCAATCTGAAGTTCTGAACTGGGCTATGAAGCGAAGCTGAGGGGTGAGCACACAGCCCTAAAATGTCGTCTTTTGTTTGCTTTGTGTTTAAATCCCCTCCTCGGTGAAGCCAGCAAATCTTGGATAGGGCTCTAAAATCATCTAAAACTACTGGGCATATTTTAAAAAAGACTTTTAGCAAACTGGCCCGACCATCAGGCCAAATGAGGCAAGTGTCTCAGGTAGCAGATGCTGCAGGGCAACCTATCATCAGAGTCCTCTCAGCTAGGCTGCTGCCCTCAGGTAAAGTGGATCATATTGTCTCACCACTAGTTGATGTAAGTTTCAATTGCTATTCAAGTTGGATTCCATACGTGGAATGATGTTTGAGAGAGACTGAGTGAGTGACCTTGTTCTTTGTCTCAGACAACAAAATGTCATGGTGAGGTCCTGCTTTAAAGGTAAAGGTAAAGGGACCCCTGACCATTAGGTCCAGTCGCAGACGACTCTGGGGTTGCGGTGCTCAACTTGCTTTATTAGCCGAGGAAGCTGGCGTACAGCTTCCGGATCATGTGGCCAGCATGACTAAGCCGCCTCTGGCGAACCAGAGCAGCACATGGAAACGTTGTTTACCTTTCCGCCGGAGTGGTACCTATTTATCTACTTGCACTTTGATGTGTTTTCGAACTGCTAAGTTGGCAGGAGCAGGGACCGAGCAACAGGAGCTCATCCCATCGCGGGGATTTGAACTGCCGACCTTCTGATCGGCAAGCCCTAGGCTCTGTGGTTTAAGCCACAGAGCCACCCGTGTCCCAGGCCCTGCTTTACTGGGCATTAAAAAGGATTGACATGTGAAAAACATCCAAGAGAGGGCATTCCAGAGCCCAAGGTGCCACCACTGAGAAGGCCCTATCTCTGGGTATCACCTACCTCACTTCCAGAGATAATGGTACTTAAAGAAGGGCCTTAAGAGAAGAAACAATGGCATTTGGGAGAAGGTGGTGATTTCAGTGGGGCCTATGCCTAAGAAGCTGCTTGAGGCCACATAAATTAGAGATGAGAGGAATCTCTTCCCTCACTTCCATTTTATATTTTTCATCTAGTCCATTCTGCTCTGCATTCAATTCCTCCTGAATTCTCACCTTAAGTAGGGGAATTTCTAAATTAATTCAAAAACTGGAGCTTTCAGTTCCATCAGGTTACCTCTATCTTTCCTTCACTCTGCACTACGAATGCACACATGTGCATGATAAAATGCTGCAATTTTTGTGTGGCTATGAGGCTAGATTCTCTTTGTGCAGAATCCTGCACATTTGATTAAAATCCCACCATATGTACAATGACATAAAACCTGCTTTTCATGTGGGTCGTTCTTTATCAGCGCACAAAACTTGAGGTGTGCATCATTTAAAGAAACCTGGTGATTGCTTTGTGCAAGTGTTTTCTTCACTTGACGGGTGTGGGAGGGAGACATGAAACAATGGAAAGTTATGCAAACTGCTCATACATAGTGTTCTGTACCAAATTCGTTAAAAATTGAGAATTCCTTAATGTATAGATTCCACTTCAGAAGCAAGATTTGGTATTTTAGAACGCCAAAGTCCAGGGAGAGGAAGGATAAGAGGAGGAGGAATTTGGAATCATTCCTGTTCTTAATGTTTGACTGCTGGGCCCCCAAACCTTCCGTAACCCCCGTGTTGGATTTATACAGGCTAACCGTACCCTTTGGAGCCATTGCTTATCTCGTCCTCATTGTTCATTATCACCACTCATTTTGTATAAATTGTTGTTATGTTGACATTCTTCTTCCCCTTTTATTAAGGCTGTTAACCATTTACCAGTTTTATTTGAATTATCATAGAAAAATTTATTTGTTCCATAAAAATAATTGGCTCCTTTAACAGCAATATTATTCAATAGCACCTTAATGTATAATGCTTCTGCATAAGCTTTTTACTGTGGAATTTTGATGTTCTAATTTTTTTATTGTTAGCTTTCTTAATAGCTCCGGTTTTTCTTGCCCAAGGCATTTCCTAAAAACCCAGCTTCTGAAAGTCACTATAAAAGCTCCCAATACATTATGGTATGATACAAAGCCGAAATTAAAATTTATATGCTTCTTGGGTTTTATTTTAATGGCTATTAGAAATTCTTTATCCTTAAGTAATAGAGCATTGAATCTCCACTACAAGCCCCTCTTATTTCCTCCTCATCGTATTATCTCTATTATTCCTTTAGTATATGAGCAAATAAAAATCTCCCAGCATTTTAACTTGTGTGTGGAAGGAGCATTTTTATCAGTTTTGGTGCAACGTATATCACACAAACACATGTAGAATGGGGGGGACGGGACCTGTTGTGGTAGCAATCTAAATGTGTCTGTGACAATTGCCTCACAAATTCTTGGCTGTACATCAGTGTGCATGTATGTGGTGAGTTTTCACTCTTCAGAGAATTGGCCACTGGTGAATACCGTTGATATAGATAGCCAGATGGCCCCAACTCTACAGTGAGTTGTTCTAAGCGATACAACTGAAGGATATGAAATTCACTACAAAAATAGCCAATTCCTGTGACTATCCACATTGGCTCACAGCTACTGAGGATGTATGATTAGTGCCTACATATATCATGCAACAAAATAAGATGTTTTCTGCTACATCTCCTTAATACAGCTGTTCCTGTTATAACCAAACTCATGCCTCCAATGCATTAATTATATTTTTGCAATTTAGGCCTATTAATCATTATCCACCCCCAAAAAATTCAACCCATCATTTTGGCTGCTAATATATTTCCATTTTGTTAGCCTGTCTTGTGTCATAGGGGCCAATAATAAATTCCGTTTGAAAGAATATTGAAGTGAGAGTATCTTAAGTGATATTTTTTCCTAGTCAGTATCATTCTTGCTTTCTTCTAGTTTTATTTAAACTGATGCTGCTGCTGTTGAGTGAAGGGTATAGTGCTTTAATATGCTTTCAAGATCTATTTCCAAGGATGATGAGTGCTCCTATGATATTATGCTTATAATATATCTCTGTCTGGGCAGAAGGATTCTTGCAACAACAATACCCTTAGGTTTTCAATATGTTCTCTGTTTTGCAACAGTCATTAAGAAATCACTAGACATAACCAGACACTGGATGCAATAGTTTTAGACTTTAAAAATGGCTAACATTCCTCTATGCCTTATTCTGGCTATGACAGCTGGAGAATCCTGTGACCTTTATATAACATGAGTTTGGGCAGTAGGCTGTATACCAAGACCCTTCTAATCCCTGGATCCAGCAAGTGTTAAAATATAAACTAGGCTAGCTTTCTGATGAGGTGATCGCCTGGGTGATGGTCCATTAAGGGGAACAAAGGAAAGGGGCTCTGTGTAAGATGGCAAATGGTTAGTTAGAAGGGAAAAGCCAACATTTAGCATTAAAAGTTGTACTGATGTGACCTAGAAGGAAAAGCAGCAAGCTGGAAAGGGCAACATTTAATTTCTGTTTGAATCCAAACAGCTTGGGAGAAACAAGACCCTTTTGGGGTGTTAATAATAATAATAATAATAATAATAATAATTAATAATAATAATTTATTATTTATACCGCGCCCATCTGGCTGAGTTTCCCCAGCCACTCTGGGCGGCTCCCAATCAAGTGTTAAAAACAGTACAGCGTTAAATATTAAAAACTTCCCTGAACAGGGCTGCCTTAAGATGCCTTAATGGTGTGAATCCCTCCATCATAGGCTCAGGTTGTATATATGTGTAAATAAACCATATATAATTATATAAAAAAAAATACCACAGTCTCTGCTGTGCCTCCTTCCAAAAGGAAACACAAACCATGTGTAAGTGCCTGGAACCCCTGCAAATTCACACTGTTTGGACACTGGGCTGGTGTGCAACACTACAAAACCTGAAAGTCTTTCTCAAGAGGCAGGAGAAGCAACAAAGAGCTCTGTGCCGCACTTCAAAGGCTTCAGCTGACAGTTGGGGCTTCACAATGCTGTGTACTACACAAGGTGAAAATGTGTCACCTGGTGTCAGTGTAACATCAGGTGATTGACAGGCAGGCACCCCACTCCACCTGTCAAACGTGACCTGTGGGGGTAGGGAGAGATCAGTTCCCCACCCCTGATGTAAAAGAGTAGATTTCTGGAGCATAAGGTAAAGGTAAAGGGACCCCTGACCATTAGGTCTAGTCGTGACCGACTCTGGGGTTGTGACGCTCATCTCGCTTTATTGGCCGAGGGAGCCGGCGTACGGCTTCCGGGTCATGTGGCCAGCATGACAAAGCCACTTCTGGAGAACCAGAGCAGTGCACGGAAATGCCGTTTACCTTCCCACTAGAGTGGTACCTATTTATCTACTTTTACTCTGACGTGCTTTCGAACTGCTAGGTTGGCAGGAGCTGGGACAGAGCAATGGGAGCTCACCCCATTGCGGGGATTCGAACCGACAACCTTCTGATCGGCAAGCCCTAGGCTCTGTGGTTTAACCCACAGCGCCACCCACGTCCCCCTTCTGGAGCATACCTTATGTCAAATTGCAACGAACCCTATGTTAAAGGAGCCACAACACTGAAAGTCCAACACAAGTAGCACACTAGGAGTTCTCGGTATTCTGGTGTGATGTGGTGTATACGCCAGATACAACATACCTTCTGAATGAATGCATTGCAGTTTTCTAGTATACAGCTCCGTTTCTTTTCCAGAGCTTTACACATTGCTGCTGACACAGTCACAAAGGGGCGGGGGGAGTACGAATTTAACACAGAGAAATTCAAATAGAAGATAAAGCCAAGCTGGTTTCCTTAGCACTAAGAAAACATATAATTTAAACATTTGGCAAACAGAGGATCAAATTCAGAAGGAAACAGCTCTATTCCCAGTCTTTCCAATCTATGTCTTAATAAATATTCAAATGTTTTCAAAAACTGCTGCATGTTTTCATGATTATTTTTTCATTTTATTTTTTCTGTGTTAAACAGAGATGGTATGTTTATGTGCATATGCATTAGACTGTGATCCTAGCATAGTAGCAATGCCGCGTTTTGTGATGTGGCGCTGAAAGAGTGGCTGATGCACCTGAAGCTAAGCTCTGTTGAGTTAGTGCCATGCAAATCAGGGCCTAATTAAAATCAACAGGATAAGAACAAATAATCTGCCAGTAATTAATTTGGAATACCAGGGAAGATTGTTTTATGGTATGTCTGTAAATCGCCTTCAACATATGTAGAAGGTGAGTGAGTGAGTGAGTGAGAGAGAGAGAGAAATAATACTGGGATGCAGACCTTATAGTCAAACATTTATCCTTAAAAAAAAAAAAAAAAGCATCCGCCTCCCAACCATTCCTCTCCCCACCCACCCATTTCAGGGCCTCCAATGCCCTTGTTTCAGAGCCCCCCAACACCCCACCTCAAAATAAGCTGAAAGGTCTGTTTAGTGTCATTGGTTCCCCATCTACTGCTTCTTTGCATTTTCCACCCCCATTACTATTTCTCTTTCTATCTTGGTTTACTTAGTCAATAAGGTATTTTACAAAAGATGTGTGTTGAGCGGGGAGTTTGATTGTGGTTGTACAGACTCACAGTACACGAGGAGAGAGTCTGAAAGGGGTTAGAGAGTGAGCAGAATAGCATCATTGGCTATGGAACAAATGAAGCCGAGTAATGGCATTTCTTCATGGATTAATGGGTAAAAGTGATGCCATAGCTATGTTATGTAGCCAATAAGATATGAATGTGGTGGCATGATTGGAGAATAAAAAGAGAGCATACTTGAGTTAAACTGGAAACCCTAACAGTAATCTTGTTATGACTCAAAGTCCAGAATCCTATCTTTACCATTCCAACCAGTGGCGAAGCTGCATGCTCTGGCACCGGGGGTGGACAGTGGGGGTGGACAGCAGGCTGGGGCGTGGCTGGCACATGTCCCAGGGGGTATGGCATGCCACCCTGGGGGCGTGGCATGTCACCTGCAGGGCTTGCGTCCCAGGGCGTGGCATTCCGCCCACGGGGGGCGTGGCATGCCGCCCACGGGCGTGACATGCATCCTGGCGACGTGCTGCGCTGCCCGCGGGAGCGTGGTGTGCGTCCTGGGGGCGTTGCATGCTGCCTGCAGGGGCATGCGCAGTGCATGTCCAGGGGGGCCACCGTGAGGGTACCCCCCCTCCCCAATGGTACCGGGGCGGTGCGCTCCCCCCGCCCCGTTCCTCCGCCAGTGATTCCAACGACTGAAAGCCCTCTCAAATTTGGAGGTTGCAGGAATAGCTTGCCTGGTGGTGCAGAGCTGTAGCAACAGCCTCCCAGCAGGGGCATTACTCGTGTTTACTGGGTGTGGCAAGGTGGCAGTGAGGTCTGGGCTGTGCAGAATTGCCTCTGCCAGTGTGCCCATGCAACTTCTCCTTTAGTACTGCGTGTACCTCCGAGTAAGTGGCAGTGATGCTGTTGCCAGGAGGCTATTGCTGTGGCTCTACCCCACCAGATGAGTCACTTCTCGGAGGCTGAAAAAGGAACAGAGAATTCCAATATAATTTGCAAACTTCCCACCTAAACGAATAACTGGAATTAACTAGATTTATTTTTGTATTAAAGTAATATAAAAAGGTGTAGTTATTTTCAAGCATACAAACAGATCCCAGTGAACTAAACTTATTCCCCTTAGTTCTGTTATCTAGTTGTCTGGCTGTGGAATACTGTTTGGCCCAGGTTTCTAGGGGAAAAAAATCTTTACAATTCTGTCGGCTCCATCCCTTCCTTTTTCAGAGCCATTGCCTTAGGGCCCAGTCTTGTCATCATTCAACACACAACTCTTTCACTGAAGTCTGGATCAAGAAAATTGTAAATCACACTGCATAAGAAGATTCAGACAGTTTCATTTGAAAGTGTTAAGATGTAAGACTATAAAAGACCATATATAGAGCGTGCTTATACCATTCCAGCTGAGGCAAAAGTACCTTGAAAGCTAATGAAAACTTACTAATATACACAATCTGGAAAGATGATCAGAAAAACAATGACTAAAGTAATGCAGTATCCCTAAGGAATTTGATAAAGTAAATTTAAGCTGGAACGTGTGCAGAGAATGAACACCAGGGTGATAAAAGGTCTGGAAAAATGAGGTGCATCCATATATATATATATATATATATATATATATATATATGTGGGTGGCGCTGTGGGTTAAACCACAGAGCCTAGGGCTTGCCGATCAGAAGGTCGGCGGTTTGATTCCCTGTGATGGGGTGAGCTCCCGTTGCTCGGTCCCTGCTCCTGCCAACCTAGCAGTTCGAAAGCACGTCAAAGTAAAAGTAGATAAATAGGTACTGCTCCGGCGGGAAGGTAAACGGCGTTTCCGTGCACTGCTCTGGTTCGCCAGAAGCGGCTTAGTCATGCTGGCCACATGACCCGGAAGCTGTATGCCGGCTCCCTCGGCCAATAAAGTGAGATGAGTGCTGCAACCCCAGAGTCAGTCACCATTGGACCTAATGGTCAGGGGTCCCTTTACCTTTACTATATATATAGAGTTGAACACAGCTAAACAACTAAACAACAACAACAAACCCAACATCATCATCATCATATACCTAACTTCATATTCATCACCCAAAGCAGTTCTTCAGGAATCCACAAGATGAGAGTTTCCTTATATCCCTACTTATGTTATAATGGTAGTAACTCTTTTCTGCCTTGGTCAGACCACAGGTGGAATACTGTGTTCAATTCTGGGCACCACCGTTTATGAAGGATGTTGACAAGCTGGAACATGTGCAGAGGAGGGCAACCAAGATGATCAAGGGTCTGGAAGCCAAGCCTTATGAAGAACTGTTGAGGGAGCTGGGTATGTTTAACCTGGATAAGAGGAGACTGAGATGAGATATGATAGCTACCTTCAACTATCTAAAGGGCTGTCACATGGAAGAGGGAGCAAACTTGTTTTCTCTTGCTCCAGAGGGTAGGACCTGGACCAATGGATTCATGTTACAATAAAGGAGATTATGAGTAAAGATCAGGAAGAACTTTCTGACGGTAAGAGCTGTTCAGCAGTAGGACAGTCTCTCTCAGAAGGTTGTGGGCTCTCCTTCCTTGGAGGTTTTTTAAGCAGAGGTTGGATGGCCATCTGTCATGGATGCTTTAGCTGAGATTCCTGCATTGCAGGAACTAGATGATCCTCTAGATGACAGGGACTAGATGACCCTCAGGGTCTCTTCCAACTTTACAATTCTATGATTCTATGGCACAAACAAATGCATTAATTAGTCTTTTAAGGCACCAAAGGGACGTTCTGCCATTTTTACTGATGGATGCTGGCTTTTACCTTCACAATCAAGGTTTCTTGTGGGATCTCCATTACAGTGTCTTGTGGCTTCAACTTGAGCAATATGTGTTTGTTTTCTGTTTGCTCATTTACCTACACAGCCATGCATACTTCTGTTCCTTTACTTTCCACCTAATCTCAAACATGGAGATTAATCTCTGCCAGCCCAGTCCCAGCCATGTTTCATATTAAGAAGTACAGCTCATTGATTTCAATGGGTTGCCCATGCGAACACGAATGCCCAAGATTTTAACCTGAGTCATAAAAATGGGTACCTGAAATGTGTGACCTTGGGAACTAGCAGCACCTGGAAGCCGATAAGAGAAAGTATTTTTGCATGAATTAAGTGCAAACTAAGAGACAACTGATTGCATTACAATTGAATGTCTAGAAACTGCTGCACTACAAAACCCTAATCCATTTACCAACATGAAACATGACTCATTCAAGGTTTGCGGTATATTATCTGAGCAACTGCTGTACTGTATGGCTTCTTGATGCATGTACAGTGGTACCTCAGGTTACATACGCTTCAGGTTACATACGCTTCAGGTTACAGACTCCGCTAACCCAGAAATAGTGCTTCAGGTTAAGAACTTTGCTTCAGGATGAGAACAGAAATTGGGCTCTGGCGGCATGGCAGCAGCAGGAGGCCCCATAGGCTAAAGTGGTGTTTCAGGTTAAGAACAGTTTCAGGTTAAGTACGGACCTCCGGAACGAATTAAGTACTTAACCGCAGGTACCACTGTACCTGTGAGGCCAGAGGTGGTTTGCTAGATGAAACCATTGCCGACTACTTTAGGTGAAAGAGAGCAAAGGGGAATCTCCACCCTTACTTTAGGCAGCAGTGGAGGTGCCCCATATATTGTAGCAATATTTTGTGCCCCATATATTGTAGTGATACAGTGGCCAGCAACTGTTTTGTCTAGGGAACTGGCCCAAGTTGGGTAAGCGTGCATAGCTTTGGGATGTTATTTGCTCGTACCATTAGTACTAATGGCAGCATTGTGGTGGGAGACCCCACTCCAAGCAACCCACATTCCTTGTAAGATTTGAAATTAGAAATGACCCATGCATGTGTGGTTGGGTTGTGGTGGCGCCCCCCCTCATTGCTACACCCCCATCTCATGTGAAAATGGCTCGCCCTTAAGTAACATGATGCATGTCGCAGTCAAGAAGTCAGAGGTTGGATGAGAAACTCAACAGGACAAACTGAGAACAGGGATGTATTTTGCACAGATATGAGGATACGTTATATAGGCTTTAAGTGCTATTTTATTACACAGTCAAAATATAGATGGCACTGGAAGATGCAGGCTGAAGAGGAGGACTGAGTCTATTAATTTAGGTCTGTTAATTGAGGCAGAGCTAGAGACTCTTGTCCTGACAAATTTGTTAGGCTTTTCCCCCCAAGTTTTTCTAAATAAGCACAACCATAATAAAGTGCAATTGGTAAGGAGTGATAGGGTGCAGCTAAGCATTAAGCTAGCAAGCTACAGTGAAACTAACCAAAGGCCAAAGAGGGAAAACTTAAAAGGGTTAAGGGAAATAAGCTCACCAATAACGCCCTCTAAAGTATATTGCAATTATTACAACTAACATTGGTGTAAGTTAATGCAAAATTAATAGGTTTCTAAAAACCCTCGCCTTAACAATTCGTAGCCAACTCTTCTGATCCTCCTCCAAATAGTCAAGAGGAAATAAAATATCAGAGAGTTCATCACTTCAATTTCCCCAAGACCCTTGCAGTTATTCTTCTTTGTGATTGAGTCTTTTAACTTTTTCATGACTTCAATCTTAAAAAAATAGACTTTAATTAAATTCAAGACTATTATTCCCCTTTAGGGGAGGTGGGAAAAACAAATGCAACTCAGATGCGGGACCTCTGAGCATAACACTATCCCTCTCTTTACAGTTCATTTTGGCATTTTTATATATTGCCTGCTAATAAAATGTAATGATTTTCATCTTTTACTTTGACATCTGAGACTCTATCTTTTATCTGTTGTTTACAGTGTTTCAGCCCATAAATAAATCATATGACAAAATAAATTACTTAATCTTGTGTTTTATTTGGAAACACATTAAAGCTTAGCTCTGTAGGAAAAAATCACTTTACACCTTAGAATTGCTTATATACTTTATGATTTTTGTGTCACGTTCAAAGAGCATCAAGGTGTCATATCAATAACAAGTGTTCACAAGAGCCACATTTTAAACCTTGAGATTTTTCTGGTGCTGTTTGATAGGAATGTACTCATATGAAAGTATATCTGTCTTTGGCAAAGAGCATTTTCAGTTATTTGACTTTAAAACAAAAAACCAGCACCTTATGGTCTTATGGAAACTATCCCAATTCTTAGAATGATCTTTTTAACAGTTATGCAGGTTTATTTGTCCACACTATTGTAATATTTATTGTCCTGTTGTGGGATCTTTCTAACATTTATTTATCCCACACATTCCTAGCTTATTTAAAATAAAATATGAAAGCGCTGGATAGCCAGCTGCCCTTAGGCAAAGTTTCAATCTGCTTGGCCATTTTTGTGACTCCTCCTGGATATTTTCTAGTAAATAGATACATACATTTCACACTAAGGATTGAATAATTCTTTTTCTCTGTAGGTAAGTCAAAAAAAGTTCCCATGCTTTGTGGGTTTCTTAAGTATTTGCTTCAGTGATGAAACCTAGGGGAAAACTAGAAATAGATTTGGTAGGTAAACTGTCTTTCCCCTGCAGCTTTTGCTTCTGAGATGCGTCTAGTCCTAGAGAATGTACCTCTTTTCTTAGGTTAATTGCTGAAATATGATGTGCTATGGCTGCATTCTTAGTCATTTCCAGATTCTATTCCAGGACATTTGGGATAGAGCCCAAGAGCTTAGCATGTTTTCCTTTTTTCATGGTAAAATTGTGCAAATATGCATTAGAGTGTGAAAACAAACAGTCTAATACATTTTTGCAAAGCTCTTTATGTTTACTGTTTATTGCAGATACCAGATCCTAATTAAAAATGCGCTAACAAAAGCCAAGATACAAAGAACAAAGATATAATGAAGCTTCATTTTTTAGAAATGTGATTAATCCCAGGGGACTTTCTACCCTGCGTCAACTCCTGTAAAATTAAAGTTCATATGACGATGGAGAGGATGTAACATTAAATATTATGATGGGCCTCACCTAACTATGTTAAAAATGGATCGTGCCATGGTTATATTTTTGTTTTGTGGATTAAGCTCCTTTCCAAATAGCATAGCTGCATCCAGCCCTGCTCTTCAGCATTAGTTTATGGTGGCTTGCAACCTTTCCTGGTTTTTGTTTCTTTGCTTTAAAAATGAAATGAAATAAAGCACCTTCTGTACTTTTACTAATTTAAAAAGGGAAATGATCAAATTTGTAACCTATTGTATTGGTTGGAATATTTTTTTAAAAAAATAACTGAAGCCAAATTAATATCAAAAAGTAGAATATAAACCAGAATTTTTGCAGGTTAGGTAGCAAATACTTTTTGTACAAATAAAGATTGATATTTCTGTTATCTATGGGAAGGCTGAGACATGGGGTGGTATTCACCTAAGTTTTAGTCAGAGCAGACCCACTGAAATGAATGGATCTAACTTAGTCACGAGCCTATAGATCTGTAAATATACAATGAGTGTATATGAAAACATACAACTTCAATCACACCACAAAATACAAATATTCAAGATCTTTTCTCATTTGTCCAGCTGGCACCTATTTCCCTGCCCCTCCAAAGTTCTTAATCTTTGAGTTACTTAGAAATATAAGGCAGGAAAAATATAATACCTCGGGACAAATACCTTGCTGTGTTCCCTGTGTCCCACTGTACTCTTGGTACACAGAATTTTATTTGCCATATGCCCAAAACCTATATGACAGTGTGCACTGTCCCTAAAGTCAGCGCCCCAGCTGCTCATCTGATATGCCATACAATTAATAACTTTCTTTTAGCAAATTGTATGGATATGACATCAAACATCTGTCTAAACTAGTGTAACACTTGAATTGCAGCAGCAATCTATTCCTTCTCTGGCAGCCTTTTAGGAGCGAGCAGAATAGGGAGAGAGGAAAGGGGTGTCAGAAAAAGAGAAAGAGAAAATGGGGAGGCCCCACCCACAGTCAGCATGTCCCCCCCAACAGATGACCACTATGGAAATGTGGACCACGAAAGAAAAAAAAGATTGCCCACTTGTGATTTAATGGATTATTCTCTGTATTCCTGCTTTAAGTACAGGAATGGTAGCAGATAACTGCTTAGTGTGTCTGAAACCAGGAAGAAAAACATGTCAGAATAATTCAGTGCACTGTATTAGTGACTTTTATAGAGCTTCACATGGAAATATGCTAACAATTTTGTTTGGACAGGATGGAATGTTAACAGGTATGTGTTTTTGCTTTCCTCTGTCTTTGACTGGGATGGACAGGGAAAAAGAAAACTGAAAATGTAGAAAGAATAAATACAGGCAGTTTGAACAAACTTTGTGCTGAATATTTATTTCTATTTTTTTCTAATTACATTACATTACTACTGCTAAACCAGGCCAGTTCTTCAGCTGGTGGTATAACAGCTCTGGCCAGTTCATCCTCCTCTGACTCAGGCTTTTTACCTGTGTTCTCTTCCAGAGTTGTCCCCTACAATGTGAGACATGATGTATCACTCAAGCTGTGCTTACTTAGTACTAGACTCGCTGATATTTGTGGACTGACATCTTTGTAAATATGCATTGAACTGGGCTGCTTGCTGCCAAGTATTAGGACAAAATAGGCATAACATAAAATATTATCAGTTTGCCTGCACAAGATGCATTCACACTGAAGAAGAATAAAGAAGAGAAGGGATATTTAAAACCTCCCCGAAGTTAATTTTCTATCTCCATTCGCTCAACACAGACATCCGTGCCCTTGTGCTTGATATTTGTCCCTCTGATCCTATGACATCCCTATCCTCCTGTTTCTTCTAAATGTCCTGTACCACACTGCAGAAGGCTGCAATCACCTTGTCAGAGCACATTTTATACCCCAAAGTCGCTGCCAGTTTTTGCCCTATACATCAACTCCTTCCTGATTCTGGCTGGCAGTTGCTCCTGCTGCACAGCAATTTCCAGTTATTTATTCAGCTTTAACCCTATTGTAAACAGCCTTGCCATGAATGCACGGTAATTCCATTGGGGCGAGCCATTTTGCTGAAATAACCTGCAAGTGGAAGGATGTTGGCAGTAGTTAATAGGGAAAAGACTCCATGTTGCATTCAGCCCCCATCTCTTTATTGTGGAAGCTTCACCTTTCATATTCTCCCATCTTTTGTTGTGCATATTTTTAGTATTTTCTTTCAGGGTTTTAACATCACAGCCGTTGGCTTTATTATTTTCCCTTCACTGGATCCTGGACTACCTCTCAGACATTGTGCATATATCACCATCTACTTGGGATTTTGGGTATAGTAAATTAAACAGGATACCAGCAAACCACACTTGATTTGTGTGAATATTATTTTAATCTTCCTTTAGGAAATCAATGTCCAAGAAGAATTTGTTCATGCCTTTCATAGGCTGCACCCTGTAGTAGGTTGTGTTGGCTAAATTTAGCTCCTTCATGGGAAATATATACAGTGGTACCTCTGGTTACGTACTTATTTGTTCCGGAGGTCTGTTCTTAACCTGAAACTGTTCTTAACCTGAAGCACCACTTTAGCTAATGGGGTCTACCGCTGCTGCCGCGCTGCCGGAGCACAATTTCTGTTCTCAACCTGAAGCAAAGTTCTTAACCCGAGGTAATATTTCTGGGTTAGCGGAGTCTGTAACCTGAAGTGTCTGTAACCTGAAGCGTATGTAACCCGAGGTACTACTGTATACGGTATTCATCACTGAAAATGTTTCTATATACAAATGAGCCACCTTGTTTCAGCCACTTTTAGAGTACAAAGCAATTGCAGAAGCTTGCCAGTGGTGGTTAGAGAGTTCGGCTAGGCCTGGACATACTGGTTCAAATGCTCACTCATCTTAGGAAGAGGAATAGTAGGGGGAAGTAGCAGAAAGAACCATGAAGAAAGATGACGTGCTCCATTCTTGCACAGAAAAAAGAAAGGTGCTGAAGCAAGGGGAGATGGGTAATGATGTCAGAATCTGCTCCAAGCCAGAAGTGTGGGACAAGGCTTGGTTTTAACTGTTTTACTCTCACCATGTTTCTTAATATTGATTTTGGGGGCAATGCTTTGATCATTGTTTTGAATTTTATTTGTTCTATGTAAGCCACTTTGGGGGCCTTGGTCAAAAAGCGGCATAGAAAAATTTACAGAAACTCACCGACAAATGAAAAAGGCTTGAAAGGCACTCTGCTGCAATAGCTGTTCAGACCATTAGGGGGCTTCAGGTCATGTGGCCATTAATTATGGCTGCAATCCTGTACTCTGTTACTTGGCGCTGAGCCTCATTAAACCCAATGGGGCATGTGCTGCGAACTACTTTACAGTTTCATTGTGTCCTGAATTAAGAATGTACAGTGTAAAGTAGGTGGCAAAGCAAGGTTTAATAGTGGTCAGAATACAGCACCGAATATAGGAAGTTGTCAAGAAGAGACTTCATTTCTCTATGTGGGAAATGTCTCCCCTTAGCAGAATTAGGAGGCCCTTTCCTATAACTGGGATTTGTGATAAGGATTTCCAGGTGAGAGGCCACAAGTTCAAGAAGACTTCATCCCTGGCAACTCTGATTTTCTAAATTAATCACTTTGAAAAAGCAAAGTTTTCAACAAGTTAGTTTGTTGAGCCATGCTGCTAGCTGTCATGGCCAATGATGTATTCTTGTTATAAGTAATCCTTCAGTGAAAGTCAAGCTAAACCCAACTGTACACTCTGTTTTAGATTGCTTAAGACGCCATAGTGCCAGTTTTCATTATTATTGATGCTAAACACTTCAAGAATATTTCTTGCTTATACAAAGGTCTTGAAGAGCTTCAATGATTTATGAAGCAAATAGGTTTCCTGGATGTCTGTGAAATACCACTGATGGATTTGGCAAACACAGTAGTAAGCACCCATTACGCCACCTAGAACACAGCATCTAACCTGTTTTTTTGTTCCATTAACAAGTTGTGAAAAAGTCATGATGGTGCTTTTAGCTGTAAAACACTTTAGAGTGTAATCTGTTTTTAGAAGATTAATTCAATCCCATATACCGTGGAAAATGATAAACAACTTAAAGGAGACAGAGCATCTATCAGTATTCCCCTTTAAAGGAGACTGGAAGCAGATACTATGTTACAGCTCATAATAAGATTTCTTTCTTTTCCTTTCTCCTTTTTTTTTTTGCTTTGCAAAAAATGAAGAGGAAGCCTCCCACCCACCCCCTCCCTGTTAAACATTGGCCATACCAGAGTTTCTTCAGTTGTATTGTGTGTATTGTAGCCAATTTGGCCTAGCTTAGTATTTCTAGAACTGCAATCAATCTTTGTGTTTATTTTGCATTACAACGGAGCATTACTAAGAACCACAAGCACAGCAAAGCTGTGTGCCTGGTTTGAATGGTGATGAAATGCAAAAAGCCAGACAGTTTCACAATCCAAATCCAACCCCTAGTCTCAGCCTGGAGATCTACCCCTCACTACTGTAAAGTTCTAGTAATGAATCTAAGATGTTTTTACAACACGTGCCTGCTTTTTGGTGCTCCCCATTCCTCACAGGGTTCAGCCAGTTGGGATTGCAAACTTCTTCTTTTTTACCAGGCCCTTCTCATCTGATTTTAGCAGCAGCTAGATTTGCACACCTAGGGCACTGAACGTGCTGAAATTCCTGCCTCAAAAAAGCTTCAACAGCTCACTGAAGTGAGCAAGGAATCAGAATGAAGGTATGCACTGAAACACACCACAGTTAGGAAGCCTTTGTTGCTCAGGCAGGGCCTCAGCTGAGACACTTTCCTGTCCAGGAATGCCCAATGACTAACATGGGTGGGCAAGTCCAGTCTCAGTACTATTTTCCTTTTGTCAGGAAATGAGTTAAGCTGAAGTTCTGATAACTCACCACAAGGGGCAGCCATGACCAGAACTGAAGGTTCCTTCCTGGTTCTCCCTCCCGGCACCAGCTGATTTCTGCAGGTCACATCAATGCTGAAGGCCTAAGAGTACCACTACCACCCCATTCAGCTGGCAATTCTAGAACCAAATGTGCCATCAATTTGCTGGGTGAAAGGCTTTGTCCTTGTGCAGCAGCCTATGGAGCTGATCCACATACAGAGACTGTTTTCTGAAGGTGAAAGGCTGTATTAGGTACAAGCTGAACAGCTAGAATGCCTTGGAAATATACTGCTGTACACCGAAATGCCGGCTCATTTTTCTTCTTCTCAATGCACAAACAGTACTTGTCCCAATGTCTTCCTGAATTTTTGATTCCCTATATACTCATAACTCGTCTCCTAAATTAAAGGATGCAAATGCACACAAGGCAAAGTTGGAAGTGCAGGGAAGAAACAGCAGAGGCCATACATTCTCTTAATTGTGTAAGGAAATAAGATGACAACAACAAGGCTTGAAGCGCCTTTGTTCTCTGGAAAATATTTCCAGTGATCTATGCAGGACTTAATACTTTCATGTATATTTAATATTCCATCATGAAGCACAGTACTTCATGGATACGGAAGCTTACATGATTTTCAGACTACAGCATGCGTGCATAACTCGAGTCACTCTCCTTGAATTTACATGTGAGATTAAAGTCACTGTACAAAACAGCCTCCCCCCGCCCTCATGTGCCATTTTTTGATCTCTTTTATAAGTGGAGACCTTACCACAAATACCCAAAGTAATTGTCCAGATAAAACTTGGAAGTTGGGATTTTTCAGCCTTCGGGACTTCATTAATGCAAAGCTGAAGAAATGTCCCTGCCTCTCTAGAGGTCAGATTAATGACACATTGGTTAGAAATCCACTGCCCAGTAATTCTTATGAGATAATTCCAGGGAATATGTTCAGCAATAGACCACTGGGAAGCACTTCAGTCAGTGAGCTCATAGACAACACTTTGTTGTTTTGTTGTTTAGTCGTTTAGTCGTGTCCGACTCTTTGTGACCCCATGGACCAGAGCACGCCAGGCACTCCTGTCTTCCACTGCCTCCCGCAGTTTGGTCAGACTCATGTTTGTAGCTTCGAGAACACTGTCCAACCATCTCGTCCTCTGTCGTCCCCTTCTTCTTGTGCCCTCAATCTTTCCCAACATCAGGGTCTTTTCCAGGGGTCTTCTCTTCTCATGAGGTGGCCAAAGTATTGGAGCCTCAGCTTCATGATCTGTCCTTCCAGTGAGCACTCAGGGCTGATTTCCTTAAGAATGGATAGGTTTGATCTTCTTGCAGTCCATAGGACTCTCAAGAGTCTCCTCCAGCACCATAATTCAAAAGCATCAATTCTTCGGCGATCAGCCTTCTTTATGGTCCAGCTCTCACTTCCATACATCACTACTGGGAAAACCATGGCTTTTACTATATGGACCTTTGTTGGCAAGGTGATGTCTCTGCTTTAGACAACGCTAGTAATGACCATTTAGATGGAACCTATTTAGATGGAGGACCACAGTTAGGTCCTAGATACAGAATTTAAAGGATGCAATTATGAGCACACAATTAGCATTTCCTCACTGCACTTGCCTTTCCTTGCTGTTACGGGTTTGCATCTCAAAATAATCTTTCAATGTACAATGATTAATATGAGGTCGGGTTTGTTCTGTTTTGGCTTGTTTCTCAGTGTTCACTTTATTACACTGTTTTTGCATAAAATAAAGATAAAAAATAATGTAATCTATACAGCAACTGAAAATCTAACAAAAAGTAAGTGTATAAATTAACACCCTTTTTATAAAATATAATTTATTCTACTGTAAAAACAGTCACCCCTTTTAAAAATAAGGGTGGAACTAATGGAGTAACCACTAAGGTTACTTGTGCCATATGCCTTGAGACAGTGGTTCAATCTGCCTTCTGAATATTTATCTTGGATAAGTATTCATTTGTTTTGCTAAATATATATTTATTCCAAATATAGTAGGTGTCTGTCCAAGCCCTTCAATGCCCCCTTTTTGAGCACATATATGCACACTTGTGCACGAACATATGCATGGTTAACAGCAAAAGAGAAAGAAAAGAAAAGCCATGTTCAACACTCATATGCTATCCCCTCCTATCACAGTTTACTTTTCCTTTCCTTTCTTTTTTACCTTTTAGAACTAATGGTTTAGAACTAATGCTTTTCGGAAAATTACAGGGAGATTTGCGAAATGAGACTTCTTCAAAAACACAATGTTATGCTTCAAATGAACCGTAGATCACAAAAATAAGTAACACGTTTACAAAAATAAGTGCCAAAGACACACTGAGATCACTTTACTAAAAGACAGCCAAAAATACATTTAAATTAGTATTATTTTTACCTTCTAGTAAATCATCAATGCCTCCTTTGGTGGGGGGAAGGGCATGAAGTTCAGTTTTGTGGCTCCGAGTAAAAAGAAAAGTTCTTTTGTCTTAAGTCCCCCCAAATATAAGCATGGGAATTTGTTTAGAAGCATTGTAAAATCTCTTTTTTTTTTTTTAAATCTGAGTGCAGATAAGATGTATAGGAGATATTTGCAATTGCACCTTTGGCTGAAACATGTAGACTGCAATCCAGGAAGGCCACAGGTATTGCAGGACAACAGTCTATGGACAGGGAAGGAGCTCTGTATGTTAACAGAACTTCCATCTGTCATAGATAGCAGCAGGAGCCTCTGCATGCCAGGGCTCTGAGTCATGGCTACTAAATAATTGCCCTTGTTTTGGTATGGTTCAGTCTGGTACATAATGGTGAAAAAAGCTTGCTGAATCTTTTGATTGGAGCGTGTTACCCACTCCTCTCTTCTCCTGTGGTCTAGGAGCAGGCTTACAATAGTATTCCAAGCTTGTTTTGGGTGAAGGGGCTTGTGGCCTGACTATTTTGCAGAATTATGTGATATTACTATACTACTTTGCCACACAATCATCAAATCGCCACCTCCTGCGGAATAGCGAACCTCGAAAATGTCACAGCAGAGATAGCTGTTTTGGAATGAAAGCAGACTTACGCCTAATCTAGCACAGAGAAGACTAGTATGGTCTTGTTTTGGCCAAACATTTCTTTACAGCTGAACAGGGCTGCCTTCAGATAGCACTGCGAGTGGGAGAATAGATAAATGCAGGCATTATGGTCTGCACCTGGGTAGCTGCTTAGGTGCAGGTTCTAGCTGGGCAGCATAATAGTGTGGGGCAGCAGTGCAGCCCACATGCTTGTTCTCTGAAAAAAATATATATAGTTGGAATGACAAGCAAAAGAAGGTCATTAAAGGTTCTGTAAACACAAGCTATAAGGAATTTATACACCGGATTTATCCGCCACGAGAGATAGTTGCCTGGAGAATTCTGAACAGCCCTTCTCGTATAGCAGCCTTTCTGAAATACGTTTTTCAGCCTGTCCTCTCCACCTAAGGGGGCTTTTAGGTCACTGACCCCTGTTTGCCCTTATGGTGGACCAGACAGTCCAGTAGGCCAGATCTTTACCTTTCCAACCCAGGTGGGCCAACTTTGACAGGCGGGAAGAACCACCCACCTGTCAATCATCTTACATCATGTTGTTGCCAGCTGATTCATTGGTGGGTTGTCCTGCTCACCTGTCAAAATAGCCCATCAGCCCAATAGCTGGCCATCAGGGTGTGGACAGAGAAATGCTGTGAAAGCAGGATTGAACTCTCTGTGCATCAGCTGTTTGTGCCGGGGAGTGTGCTGGGACCATCAAGCTTTTACACCTGACTTGCTTAAGATGCTACTTAAGTATTCTTGTCTTCTTTTAACATTTTTGTAAAGAATATTCTTTGCCTTTTTTGGCAGGAAGACAGATGTGTTTGGTTATTGATACCATTGAAAGGTTTGGAATTTTATCCCTGTATTGTTTGTATTTGTGTTACTTTGTAATTGCATTATTGCATTTGTGTGTGTTGATTCTTGGGAGCTGCCTTGGGAGCCTTTCTGGCTGAAAGATGGCATATAAGTAAACAGTAACATAACAACCTAACCTAACCTAACACAACATGTGTGGAAAGGCCCCCGATGTACTCAGATGACACCACAACTCATGGACATCATAGAGATTAGACTGTGAAAAGTCATGGAATGAATTAGAGGAAGAAGTGGAAATAAACCGAGGTATAACTAGTATACCTGAATAAAGATAATAACTAGTATACCTGAATAAAAGTATAAGATATGACCTGGGTATTGCAACAAAATACCTAGAAGATGTGGTTTTTTTGTTTGTTTTTTAGGATCACTTGTAAAATTAACTATAGTAAGGTGGTAAAATATTGATTGTTTACCACAACAGGTGTTTTCACTTGTTTTCCATAATGCAATAACGAATCTATCACTTGGTTTTATTTGGGTGCTTTCACGCATTACAAAGTCCAACCAATAGGATTGTTTTCTGAGTTGTACAAGCAGTTAAGATGAGACAATCATGATGCTCAGTAGATGTACAATATGCATTCAGTGTTTATTCAGGAAATTTTCAGACAGGGAACTGCCATCAGCATATTACCAGAATGTACCACTGGGACCTGATGATTGATTCTGCACATCATAAAAATAGCTAAGGAGATTTGCATTTGTGGCTGAATTATATTGTATAAAGGCAAGGTTGCTAATGCATACATTATCATGGCAAAGGCATAATTTTGTTTACATCGACCCTTCAGATGGTTGAGTTTGGAATTGAAATAGGCCGCCCAAAAATTAAAGTATTGGCTTTTGAATGGTCAGGTGACACCTTAGATCAGGGTTGGGGAACCTATGGTCATAAAAACATTGTTGGACTATATAGCATCCTTTGTTCCTGACCATTGCACATGCTGGCTGGGGCTGATGGGAGCTAAAGTCAAACAACATCTGGAGGACATCCAGCTTCCTATTTCTCTTCTAGGCACACAGAACAATGTACAAAAACCAGCCCCATACTTCCTAAGAAAAATCTCTGAGCTTATAGAATGCTGATGGCTGGTGTCTCTCTCTTTCCATAGGCAAGAAAGGATCTAAAGAAAGCAGATGTCAGACGAACTGTAGTGGGTTTCACAGAATCCCTCTCATCTAGTTAAACCACTCATGAAGGAGTTGCAGGGTCATGCCAACTACCCTCTACCCCGATGAGCATGCAATTTTAGTGGGCAACTCTGTGCATGAAGATAACATTGCCTTTGGAGCAGCTCAGGGTACCTTCAGAAGGCCATGGAATATCATCACTGGGTGTGGAGCTACTCCCCAAATGTGTGATTTCAATGTCTGAAGACTTGAGGTTTTCACGAAGTCATGAACATTGAAATGATTGGCATTACCAATAAAGTCTATGGGTGCTCGAAATACAAAATGTTGTCTCAACCGTTTGGGGGTGTGGCAGAGAAGGAGAATGAAGGGCAGGGGCAGTTTATAGTAAGTATCTTGGACGGGGGATGAGAGATTGGGAGATGCCTTTCCCATTCCTAGAACTGCATCCACCCTCACAATATAGCTATTTAAATTATTTTCAGGTTTGGCAGTGACAGCCCTGTAGCACTGTCTAGCACAGCAGGGGAAGGACTCAAAACAAAAGTCCTTTAGTCTTTCTTAATTCCTCAGACTTAGACAGTGTACAAAAGCAGAGTGGATTCAGTGCATCCCATGTGTGCAATTTTTTTTGGTGTCACCCACATGTTGTTGTCCTCATCCAAACGGTAGCCCATACTTCCTCCCATTTAATTCAGATTTTCCTGATCCACGGATAATGGAGTAAGGAAAACAACAACAAAAACAGAAAAATCACATTTTACCGTACAATGGATGTACTGAAGTATACTGTGTGAAGAGGGTTTTAAAAAAATGCACGGGGTGATGTTTTGCTGCGTGACATCTATCACACTTCCTACTTTCACTGGTCAGGTGATCCTTGGTGGGTTGCTTGTGAGGCCCGGTGTAATGCACTGTCAGGCTTGAGGAATCCTCCCCCTGATGGCACCAAGAGGAAGGGAGGAAACAAGGAAGTTCTTACGTATGATTTAGTCAGTCATCATGGTAAAAGACAAATAATTTCAGTCATTCCTCCATAATGGAGTTGCTCGCACTGAGCTCCTCCCCCTTCCCCCTCTAGCAACAACACGTCTGTCCGTGAAGAATTGTCTCTGTGTTCTTTGTTCTTGCACCCTTAGTGAACGTAGCATTTTGGGAGAAGGGGGTGGGGTCAATGATGCTGTCCAGAGACATGTCAGCTAGCTCCTCTGCCTCTACTTCCCCTTCTCCTAACACTGTATAACTCTGCTGTTTGTCTGTCTGAGCTGTTATCTTTCTCAAAGCCCTGCTGTAAATCGAGACTGCCGCCCTCCTCTCTGGAAGCTACAGGAGAAGGGGGAAGAGACCTCCACTATTCCTCCTCCTCTTTAGTCCAGTCCCTGACATGCACTCATTTTGCGCAAATACAACCCATCAAGCAACTCCCATTAGTGTAGACAGGAAACTCTGAGACAGTTTAACGGAAAGTGCTCACATGTGGGCAAACATGCACAAAAGCACATACGAGGGGGGAAATTGTGCAATCTACATAATCACAGCCTTACCCTCTCCCCAAGTAGCTCAGCTGCACTTTGACTAAGGAACATATGGGGGGGGCATACACTGCAAGATTTTGTTGCAGGTCCCATTTGTTTAGTCACATCTGCAAATTGAATTCTGATTTATCATTTTGTATAGATCACGTTATTAATTTTTGTGTAGGTGCCATCCATCACTCCAACCAAAACATGCAATTTCGTGCAATTTGTGTATCTCACCCCAATCTTTGCACAGTAAAATGTAAAAACGGATAGTAAAACAGCAGTCATATTTCTCTGACAGCCAGTGACTAATAGTCTGACCTCCTAAACTGCATTTACTGTTCACCAATGATTATGTCATTAGGAATGAATTAGATACTCAATGAGGGGAATCTCCAAATCTAGTCTGCCACAATGAAAATCTCAATTATCTGACTTGTAGGGGAAGCATCAGTATTTTTTTTAATAATAAAAAAGCATTGCTTTATCACTGGAGACTTTTATTTGCTATCATGGAAAAGAAATACTACCATGGAAATATTCTGAACAGCTCCAGAGTCTAGGACCAAAACCAATGTTTAGTCAGAATCTCATTTCTTTCAACTGGAATCCATTAATAGGAAGAGCTGTTTGACATTGGAACGGACACCTTCAGACACCCACAGGTTTTTAAGCAAAGGTTGGATGGTCAGCGATGCTTTAGTTGAGATACCTGCATTGCAGGGGGTTGGACTAAACGACCCTCGGGTTCCCTTGTAAGTTTTTATGTTTGTTTACTTTTTTCTTTCATAATTAAAATAATTTGAGTGTCATCTTTTTATACACAAGCCACTGAAGGCTAATTCTCCAGATTTCTACGTATAAGGTCCTTGCATTTATGCCCTAGTATGAACCACATATGAATATATTAACATATGATGGGCATGCAACAGGCTTCTCAAACAGATTTCTACTAGCCACGCTGGCTATGCTCTGCCTCCACAGTCGCAAGCAGTAATACTTCTGATACCAGTTGCTGGAAATCGCTGGAGGGAAGAGTGCTCCTGTGCTGAGGTCCTGCTTGTGAGTCTTCCACAGGCATCTGGCTGGTCACTGTGAGAACAGGATGCTGGACTAGATGAGCCATGGGCTGATCCAGCAGGCTCTTCTCATGTTCTCAAAAAGAACCGAGAGTCTTCTGACATCTTAAAGACCATCAAATACTTTGCGACATTAAGCTCTGTTCCATGCCCTATAAGCACAGGACATCTTTGCCTAGACTAGAGGCACTTTGGCCCACAGATTGCAGCAAAATAAGAGGGCAGTATCCAGTATTCTCTCCGTGTGATGGGTGCATGGGGAAAAACTGTCCCATGAGCCCTTGCTGCAGGGAAGGAGGGGAAAGCCTGTGTAAGACTGCTTCCCCTGGAGCTCAGAGCCATTTTGCTTTGAGAGCTTTAATCAAAAGCAGGCTATGGCTCTGCTCCAGTACACCTGATAGTCTCTGAAGTGTTGCAAGGCTCTCTGGTATTGCTGCGGCAACAGGGTACTTATTTTGCATTTACTGCATGTCAAATCACTCAAGGTGGTTATCAGTTTTAAAGAACTAAAACAAAATAAAAATAAAAAACACTGCAAAATAAAATACAAAAACTTGGAAGGGTTGTAGCTTAGTGGCAGAGCATCTTGCATATAGAAGGTCCCAGGCTGAATTCCTGATGTCTCCAGGTATGTCTGAAGAGTTGCTGCAGTGTATCCAACACTGAGTTATATGGACCAATGGTACAAGGCAGTTTCCTGTACCCCTAAAATAAATAGAACAACAGAACTCTCAGGTAGACTGATGGTCCTTTCAGGATTGACTATCATGGCTAGGAATACTTCATTTTTGCCTTCCTCCAGGTAAAAGGTAGGTAAAGGACCCCTGGACGGTTAAGTTCAGTCAAAGGTGACTAGGGTTGCGGTGCTCATCTCGCTTTCAGGCCAAGGGAGCCGGCGTTTGTCCACAGACAGCTTTCTGGGTCATGTGGCCAGCATGACTAAACAGCTTCCAGCGCAATGGAACACCGTGACAGAAACCAGAGCGCACGGAAACGCCATTTACCTTCCCGCTGCAGTGGTACCTATTTATCTACTTGCACTGATGTGCTTTCAAACGTCTAAGTTGGCAGGAGCTGGGACAGAGCAATGGGAGCTCACTCCATCTTGGGGATTTGAACTGCCAAGCCAACCTTCCGATCGGCAAGCCCAAGACCACAGTTTAGACCACAGTGCCACCTGTTTCCCTTCCTTCAGGACACACACGTCTTCAGTAGCACCAGGAAAGCTGGAGGAAGGGCTGCCCATCTGCAATTGGTCACTAGACTTCTCACTATAGCCCCCTGGATGCACTTGTTGTACAAAGGGTCAATAAAGGGGCCCCATAGTTGGCCCCAGCCCTGAAGTTTCATGGCTCTTTCCAGCCCCTCACATTCTTAGGAAGACAGGAAGTTGCCTTATACTGCATCAGACCTTCTGAGCATAAAATTGGAGTTCAGTTATAATCTGACAACAGTTTTCTCATGACTCTTACAATGTGATTCAAATGTCCAGGCTCTCGCAATTTAGCTTCCTTAACATACTTCCTGATGTGGAAGCTTTCCCCCATGTGGCACATTCCAACTTGCAAAATTTCCCACCAATATTCTGAGATGGTGCTATTTTGTGTGTGTGAACTGTATTGCGTGAATACCTGAATGTATAAATCTCTTCTCCTGTGTGGTTTGTTTGAAGCGATTAGGAAAAAATAGTAGGACGATTTCCAGATCTTTTGGTGGCTGCATCTCTAAGTGCCATGTTTCATGGAAGTGTTAACAGAATAATGCTTTGTGTCATGCGCTAGTTATTAGGTTCATAATGACTATAATACTGTCTTTGTAATATTTGCTAATACAGTAGAAAAATACAGTATGCTAATTGAGTGTTCTTTGAAGATTAGCTATTGCAAGGGGAAGTATGATCCAGTGCTAATATGGTAAAAATCTATTAAAAGCCACAACCTTGGTGCTTTAAAAGGAATTATTTTAACAGATTAAGAGTTGCTTGAAAGGGCTCCTCAAAGATCACATATATCATGGAAACGTTAGTTCTTCGAGTACATCTGTATCTGTGACATATTACAGTGCTTGCTGCCGGAAAGGACAATTCTCCTGATACAGTAAAGTGCCCTGCTTTGAAAATGTTTTAACCACGAGATGTATTTTATTATGTAAATGTACTACAACATGTGTCACCTGTCGAAGAGCTGCTCTTCAAGCGTCTCTCTGAGCAGTTCATGGCTATCATGAACAAGGTCTATAGTCACCATGATTTCTAAGCTGCAGCAAGCTTAAAATTACTCTTTTTTATTTCCTAGTTAGCTAATGGTCGACCCATTCCTTTAAGTGTTCGTAACTGCTGGATAAATGGGTCTTTGCCATGCACGTCTATTTTGTATTGTTTTAGTTCTGATTCAAATTTATAGGCTGCTTTTTCTGTTTTTAACTTTATTTTAAACAATGACTTGAGATGCTTCTGTAGAAGCCGATTACTAATGAATGATGATGATCAAGATAATAATAATTGCTCAGAAGCACGGGTGGGCAGACGTCATCCTTGGACACAGCACAGCACACTGCCCACCTCTGAACTTTTTGTAACTGAAAGAACTTGAAAGCGGGGAGAAAAAAATAAGGAATAAAGCGAAAGAAACAGGGAGAAAATATAGCACAGGAAGATGGAAAAGCTAGGAAATTTGGGGAAATGAAAAAGCCAATGTGGGAGCAGGAAAAAATC